TCAGCTGAACCTACCTCACAGGGCTGTTGCAAGGATAAAAGGGATCAGATTGTGTTCTTGGCTAGAGGAAACAAGGCAGGCTATAAATGTAAAATAAATACGTACTTTTTACTTTTATGCAACTTTATAAAGACACACACGCCATATCCGAAAAGGTGAGAGCAGGGAAGTTTGCAGCTGTAGTGGTTTGGTGGCAGTTTGGGGCTTGAGAGAAACTGGCTGTGGTTAAGAGCTCCCTGTGTCACCTTTGGCAAGTCTCACTTGAATAGCAGAGACGTCATGAGGATAGCCTAAGATTAAGAGATACCGTAACTTACTGTGAAGTGAGTTAGTCCTTGAGAAGGTCTTTGGGGGATCTGGTGATCACAGGATAGGCATTCAGAGGGAGCTGGATAGCCTGGAAAGGAATTTGGAGCGCAGTACAGCATGGCTGTGTGGTGAGGGGCACCTGTTTAGACTTCCAGCCAGCTGTGCCCCTTCCAGGATACTTCATTCCATTAACCCTCCTGAATAATCCCTGAATAATCAGCTTTTAGTGGCCTCTGAGCATGTTAAGTTCTTACTGAGTTCTTTGGATCATGATTCCCTATCCCCCACCTCTATACATTTGCAAATATAGGGTTCCTCCAAGCCTATTGGTATGTGTAAGTGGTTCTGCTCAGGTATACATATGATAAAGACTTGACATGCCATTAATATGTACAAGCAATGTGTTGTTTGTGTATGAGAATGCAAGCCTAAGGAAGAACTATCAAAAGATCCAGGGAAAGGAGCTAAGAAGGGCCAAGCCCCAGCCAAGTGCAGGGAAACAGAGCTTGGCCAACCAGGCACTCTGGGCAAGAACTGCTGACCAGCTTGCCAATAGTCCCTTCCCTTTTTACCAGGACCACTTGGAGAGTGATGTTGACGAAGGCATGGCAGTCAGTTGTGCCTGACTCATTGCTTTATTCGGAGAGAACAATACATCTCCTGATATTTGCCCTTGGACAGAGCAGGAAATTGGAATGCTTGCCTGCCGCCATTTTCTGGCTGAGTCTCCAGCTGCATTATTGGAATGCAAGCCAGGAAATGTCATGTCAGGAGCAGGCTATACTTGCCGCAATATCTTAACCTGTGTTTTACCTACGCTCACACAACAAGGGCACAGAGATTCATGCAGATGCCTGTTAGTACATCGCTTTGGTCATTAATCATGACCTTAAAAAACAGAAAAAAGAAACCAACATCTATAATTACTTGATTTAAGCCAGCATTGCATTGCTTGATTTAAACTTGGTCCATTTGGACCAAGATGGTGGCAATCACTAGAATTCAAGGATATGAACTTCTTTATGTGGCATTACCTATATAGTTCACTGTAGTAGCTTTCCATGGTTTCCTGTGGAAGGACTACCTTCTGTTTGATCATTATTTCTTTTTAAAAAAAATTCTTTCATTCCACTGTGTTCTTGCTTATTATTTGGAATAGCACCAACTAAATTTAAGCAGTCAGATCTCCTCTTCCTCCTCCTCCTCTCTGATGCTGATATATTACATCACCCTTCAGTGCCTTTTCCCAAATGTTCACCTCAGCATTGCTCATGCTGGTCCATGTAGTTTCTTCTTGATCACAAAGTACTGGTGAACCAGTTGCAGACAATTTCTTCTGTGTACTAATATGCTAATGTAAATAATAGGTGTTGGCGGGTAAAGCTAAACTGAAGAGGGTACAATGTTGTTTTTATTGCTTATGGTTTGCTTCCTTTGGGTTTATTTCCTTTTTTAAAGAAAGTGATCAACTTATTTTGGGATCGATGCATTCACACTAAATGCTGAGATATTTTAGTACCTAGGAGCTCTACTTGTGGCACTCTAGATGTTTTGGCCAATAGCTTCCAGCATCACTAGTCAAATTTTCTCAATTCTTGATTCAACAATCGTGGCATTTCCCAGTTAGCTTGTTACAGCACACATTTATTTATTTATTTATTTATGATTTATATCCTGCCTTTTTCCTACAAAGGGCTCAAGGCAGCTTACATCATTCTCCTCCTCCATCTTATCCCCACAACAACAACCCTGTGAGGTAGGTTGGGCTGAGAGTCTGTGACTGGCCCAAAGTCACCCAGTTGGCTCCCTGGCTGAGCGGGGACTAGAACCCAGGTCGTCTGAGTCCCAGTCCCATGCTCTTAACCACTACACCACACTGGCCCTCACATGCTGAATTCTATTCTGGTGTGAGGAGCCATCAAGACTAGTATCCATTAATAGTCTGATTGATTCTACCATTCATTTGTCTAATCCACCTTTTACAGTCATCCAAGTTGTGTTAATGGAGAGTGACTGAAAAAGAGATCTGGGGGTTGCAGTGGACAGCTCCATGAAAATGTTACCCCGCTGTGAAAAACTCAAAATTCATATTACACACAATGAGAAAAAGAATTGCATATAAAATTGTCAATATCATATGACCCTTATATAACTCTCTTGTGTGACTATGCTTGTATTATTGGGTACAGTTCTGGTAACCACCCCTCAAAAAGGATATTGTAGAGTTGAGATCAGCAGAAAAGGGCAATCAAAACATTAAAGGGTTTAGAGTATTTCTTCTCTGAAGAAAGCTGACAACATCTATGACTAAATTACTAAAAAAAAAAGATAATGCAAGATAGAGTTCTCCAAAATTGTCTTTGATGTGGAGAAAGTGATAAGGTTACAGTTTTTGCCCTCTCTAATAATATCAGAACCTGCGGTCGTCCTCTAAAGCCAAATGGTAGGAGACTCACAATGGATAAAAGAGTTCCCAAAGTGCATAGCTAATTCACGGACTTTGCTACATCCAAGATGTAGTGATGGCCACCTTGCTTTGGATCTGGTTCACCAGAAAGGGAGAACTAAACCTCACCCCACACACACAGATTGGGCTTGCACAACATGATACGCCACAGTGGGTTGCAAGTCTTGTGAGTATTAGCACGACTTGTTGAAGAAAGGAGACTCATTTTTCTGTGGACCAGCCAGATGACTTGTAGGAAGTTTACTGAGTGTCGCTCTTTCTGGAATGGCTTAGCATGCTATTTGAACCTGAGCGTGGCCCACCCCAAGCAGCTACAGAGGCACTTGGCAAGATTGTGAAAGAGCTGAGTCACTTGTTCTGCTCTCACCGGCACCGGCACCAGCTTCTTTTTCCAGTGACTACCTTTCCACCCAAAAGACCATAGCTCTGTCACTATCTTTTTATATCGGAGGGAGCTTTGGAAATACACGAACGAGGTTGTACCATGAGCTATAATACTTTAGCCTGTGATTAGGATAATTCAAATGTCCTTATTTTTTTAAAAAAAGACTGTATCAAATATGCACATGTGGAATTATAAATGTCATGTCCTTTGGACACAAGGTACCACCAAACACTCTTAAAGTATTCCATAACACTCTTGTCAGCTTCATGTTGCTGAGAATATCAATGACTGACAAGGAAAGTTCTGCTTTTTAGAAATACCAGGTGCCTGTGAGTCATGCAACTATGGATTGTTCTAGATTCCAGCCAAAGGTTTTACTTCTATTAAAAGGCAACATAAACATGTTTTTACTAGAAAATGTTCCTTAGCTATTTGTAGAGGTGACATTTAAAGAAACTTCCATTGACTTCTACTTAGCATGTGTGTTGATCTTGAAGGGAAACTCTGTGTTTGTATCCAGGCATTAAAAAGAGGAAAATTGGAGTCTTTTAAAGAACATGAGCATTTTAAGAATGCATTTTCCATCTTCATCTTCCATATGCAAAAAGGATATACTGACATCTTGAAAGTTGACCTGACTTTCCTTTCCTTTCAGGCAAATAAGTTATGACTTTCTTTAAGTATTTCAAGGAAATATTAAAATTTCTGTCATCTGTTATTTTGTGGTGTCTGCAGAAGACTCTAAAACTGTGTTTTCTTTAAGCAGGTGTCAAGGGTGCTGGATTTTCACTTTCAGGTCATTGCTTAAGTCCTGTTCATTTCAACAGGTCCGCTCTAAGTAAGGCCACCATTGGATACAACCCATAGCTTTGTGCAATTGTTGGGGCTATGTGTGTTAACTTTCTCAAATTAGTTTAAAAACATTGTTTTGGTTATAGGATCAGTCACACATGGTGAAATATTGCATAACATTTATAGGAGGTATATATATGGGGTGAATGGCTGGGTACTTTTAAAGAAAGTCAATCAAGGTAAAAAGATAACTGCTTGTTATTGCATTAAGGAAATACAAATTTTAAATTACTGATTGATTTTTGTGTGTTTATTTTGGATTAATTATGACATTATCTAGAACATTTTTAAAGAAAATAAATTTAATTTAGATTGTGCTCTTCATAGACTGACATTCTCAAGCACATTGACTGATTCATATGCCTCAGGTTGTTAACCAAGCAGGAGTGAGCCAAGCATGCTGTATTCTACCTGCTTCCTGTTTCTCCTTTCAGATAGTGAAAGAGCCCAGCAATGTCCCATTCCTGGATTGTTCATCATGGCACGGAAGCCCAGAACACTGGGTTGTTGAGAGGGAATGAACCCAGAGTTTTCATCCAACAGCAAGCTATGGGCTTGCTGGGTTCTTTCTGTTTCAACAGCTAAGAGTTCCAGGTCTGAATGTCATTTCAATGCCAACACGGAATGGGCATCCCTGTGTTGTTTTGCAATCTGGAAAGAAAATGGACATGGTGAGCAAGTAGGAGGCAGCACAGTTTCTCGCTCCTGCTTGGCTCTGACCTTAATGGTTCCTGGGTTGCTTACAAAAGCAGAAATGAATCAGAAGTGGCTCCTGCATGTGTTCCCAGCAATCTATGGGTTGTTGTTATATGCAAATTGAGTCATTGGCTTATTTACTGTTAAAAATACCGAATCAATTGGCAATGTTCTAAAAGTACTACAATTTATTTCCCCTGATGATCTCTGTACAGCTGCTGTATGTGTTAATATTCTACTTAACAAACCTCTAATTGCTGGTTTTGTTTATCTTCTTGTTTAATACTTCAGGCACGGAGGAAGGAAGTTTTTATTCAGGAACGATATGGCAGATTTAATCTTAGTGACCCATTTCTGGCTCTGCAGCGAGACTTCGAGGCAGGTGCTGGTGACAAAGACAAGAAATCCACCTGTACCAACCCACTCTCTATTTTAGAAGCTGTTATGGCTCACTGCAGAAAAATGCAAGAGAGGATGGCAGCTCAGCTGGTCGCTGCAGAAAACAGACAAAAGAAGGTACCATATTTACCCTTTTTGTTTTCCTTTTATCTCTCATTCTGGTTGCTTCTTGTATCTTCAAAATGATTTATTCTCTTCCATTTTTAGGAAAAGTTATTTTTCTCTTTCCACAGTGCATCATTCTAGAGTAGTTGTATAAACTTTATTTTATCATTAATGCCAGATTAATGCCTGTTTTCCATTTGGTAGTTTACATTTCCATGTCCAATGAAAGAAGAAAATTCTTCTTTGTCACCATTATCCTAGTAGCATTAGAAACTTGCGATGATATAAATTAATAGCAACAAACTTATCCCAGTAAGTTTGTACTACTACTGGGATCATGGCTTGCCATCAAAAATGACTTTCAAGTCAGTCTACAAACAGAATTCAAATTGATTAAAATAAACGATAAAGTGATGCATTGAAATAAATAAAAACATGACAGTTACAAAATACCAAAAATAAAAACACCCGTCCCAACACATGCAGGTTTGTGCTATGGCACTTTTCACATACATTGAAAAGTATCACTGAAAACTTCACCAAGCACCCAAAAGACCACAGTCTAGATGCCAGGCAAAGCCCTCTGCAAAGAGCATTGCACAAATAAATGCCCCTCTTTCCATGGAAGTAAAATATCTCAAGCTGTGTTAGGATGTTTCTTCTGCTTTGGAATTTTACCTGGGGAACATCTGGAGAGAAAAGTCAGAACCCTGGCTCAGGGGTTCCTCCTGACTCGGCACAGGGTAGAAACTTGTACATGAACTGGATGCTGCTGCATTCAGATATAGGTCACTTTGTGACAATCCCCTTCGACATAGGGGTGATGGGAGTTGAACGCCAACCCACACAGTGTCAGAGGAGATGATGTAATGATGTGAGCAGTGAGGAAGAGCATGGAAGGGATCATTTATGACTAAGGCATAGCTCTGATCTTTCCCCATTGAAGTCCTTCATGTAGAGCATTATCCAGAAGAAATGAAAGCCTTCCATTAAGACTGCAATATTAGATTAGTTAGGCGAAGCATCTAAAATGTTTAATTGGCTAAAAAAAGGCACCCCCACTCTATCAACTGAGTACCAAATGTTTTTAGGAAAAAAATATTTTGATAGAAGTGCAAAGAACACATTCTCCCTCTCCTCTCATGCAGCAGGAAGACTTTTTCAAATATGTGAAGTGCTATCATCCAAATCAAGGAGTGGGCAGTTTATGGCCTTTCACATGCTTTGACCTACAACTGCCATCAGTCCTTGCTAGGGATCTGAGAGCAATCCAGTTTGGAGGTGGGAATCTGTTGGATTTAGAAGTGGAGATCTTCAGACTCCAGCGCACTTTCTGTCATCCCCAAGTCTGGCTTGGAGCCAATTGGGCCAAGCATTTGTGTGGGCATCTTCCAGGAATTGAGTCTGCCTGCTCACTGTGCAAGCAGAGTCCCTCATGGCTTTTGGGCTTTGAATATGTGCTGCACATGCTGCAGAAGGTTGCTGGGTTGTGCGAAGAGGAGTTCTGCTAGAATTTTCGAGCATTTGCAGACTTTAGCTGAAAGTCCATGCGAACAGAAGACAGCCAAATTCCAGGAGGATCACTGCAACCCTAGTCCTGGCCATCAAGCCAATAATGAGGCATGATGGAAGTTGACAGCCAGAACATCTGGAGGACCACAAGTTGCCAATCCATGAACAAAATCAAAGAAAGTATCTTCTTTCTGCAGAAACATTGTTTTTGGCTGTATGCAGATGTATGCAAATATAATTGATAGATTGACCAACACTCATATGGTTAATCTAGTAAAATTTGTTTAGTTAGGCTGAGCCCTGCTTTCATCTGCCCTGCGACAGGGCAACATTTTGAATACAGATGGGAGGCATTGCTGAACCTGGATCAGAACATACCTTTATCCCAAGCTAAGAACTAACAATAGCACAGTGCGTCCAATATAGCTGCTGATGGTTGACAGCTCAACGTAATTAGATCAGTTGCATGATACCTGAAGCCAAACTTTCTTTGGATTTTATTTACATATATTTTGTCAAGTAATGAAAAATAAACAGGACATGCACAGGGATCTGTACACTTGCAGGCAGCCGTGTTCCTAAGAGTACCATTAGGAAGATAACTCTTCAGATAACTTTTGAAAATAACAATCTTCCAATGAGTTCCTTTCCACCAGGGAAAACATACATATAGGTTTGTTTGTTTGTTTGTTTGTTTTGTCTGGTTTTGCAGGCAGTGAGGGCAGGTTGAATCAACACCATGGGGAGATAACTTTGCAGTGGCTTTCCAGTGCTCAGTCTGAAAGGAAGTTAATGTTGAGATAGGTTCAGTGGTAGAGAGAAAGTGCAAATAATTAGAACAGCACATCAGAAGATATCTTAGTAGGCAAGATCAGGTCTGGAACTCCTTAGATTAGGCTTGGCCATGTCTGAGCTCAGCTTAATGCTTCTAGGGAAGACCTGGGTTGCAGCAGTGGTATTATCTAGAAAAGCTGGATCATCTCTGCCACAGCAAGTTCATGTCTGTTGAGGCAAGGTGTCGTCCAATAAGGCAAGGTCAGGTTGCACAATGCAGTCCCAATAAGTCATGCAGGCTCTGTTAGGACCCTGGACAGATCACAAGCTGAAATTCATGCGTGAAGAATGCTCTGTCTCAGAAGCATGCAGGGGCCTTTCGAAGGTGGCAGATCTGGACCTCCAACCCTCCTCAGGAACTTTCTGCATCTTAAAAGGCCACTGCCTGCTTTTGCAGGTATTGAGACTACATTAGAGGGGTATCTTCTGAGTCTGAGAAATACGGTAAAGCCACATCATCGGGAAGTCCTGAAACAGCAGGTGATAGGCTGTTGAATGAAACCCTAGCTCCAAATCTTCCTCTGAGCCAGTATGTCCAATCACCAAGGATGATAGGAGGTATTGTTGAAAATATCTGGAGGCATCCAGGTTTGAAGAAGCCAATGTAGAGTTCTGGGCAAGAGAATCTGAGATCTGCACCGTGGAGCATGAAGGGAAGAACAAAGAGGGGAGAGGCCCATAAACAAGGGCAAGCAGAAGGATAGGCAGATAACTAGTTTACAAGCCAAAAGTGGTTAGCAAAGGCACATAAACAAGGAGGGAAAAGGTGCTTACCAATTTCACAAATGCACCAACCTGTTTCTTTAGTAGAGTCTGCAAAGTGACTAGGGATGTGATACAACCTGACAAGCATATTTACATTCAGAGGCACATATGTCTGTAGATATGTATATATTCAGTTCTTCACATAAGGACAGTGTTGAAGCAAGGTAACTGACCATTAAATTAGCTGTTCCACTGTCATTTAAAAAAAAATCAAATGTATACTGTACTTACTTTTCATTTCCAAGAAGCTTGCTTTCATGATAAACACAAATATGTTACCAATCCAATTTAAAATAACCTTAAATTGCAATGCAATTTGGGTGGGGGGTGGAATCAGCAGTAAATTATGAATCAGAATACAATAATAACAAAATATACCTAGGCAACTCACTGCTGCAAAGGCCTTTTAAAATGAAAACAACCCTTATAATTTTTGTCTTCTTGTATTCAAGGCATTGAAATCCAGTGAGGCTGCCTGGAACCCTCTGAATTTAGAGGAGTACAGCCATCCTGTGAAGGATGCTAAGATTGGGGAGGCAAAAGATTGCCTCCATGTTGCTTCTGCTTGGCAGGCAAATGGTTGGACAGATTATTTGGGTGTTTCAGTGTTTTGTCCTGGAGTAGGAAAAGAAGACGCTGAGGCAAAGGATACTTCATATGCTGCTGGAGCCTGTCTCCTCCCCTGCATGCTTCCAAAGGCCTGTTGCTGAGGTCACTGCTGTGACCTTGAAGTTGCAGCCAGCACACTTCTTTCCATGCCAGCTGCAAAGGGGAGGGTGGGCACGTCTCTTTCAGAGTCATTGACTGTATATTTGTGAAGAAAATAAATTATTTTATTTGTTTTTCAGTCAGATTTGTAATCTAGCAAATAACCAATGTTGTCTGGGCAGATTACAAAAGTTTAAAAGACTGCAGTGCCTTACAAACAATTAAAAATATAAAATACAATACAAATAATTTAAAAGAATAGAATAAGCTACAGTACAAAATAGCAAACAACACAAGAATCAATGAAACAACCATAACAATCTAAGAGTTAGCTCTCTAAAACGTCTAAGAGGGAAAAAAGAGGTCTTTGAATAGATAAGCAAAGCAGGCACCAGGTGAAGCTCTTTGAAGAGGTCATTCCATAAGCAGGGTACCACAGCTGAGAAGGCGCTCTCTCTTGCAGCCATCCTCCCAGGTAAGAGAGAGCTTCAGCAGGGCCACTTACAGGGGACCTGCCAAAGGTAACCGAACAGTCTAAGCAGGTACCTATGCAAGGAAATATTCCTTTAGATAGTCTGGTCTCAATTTATAAAAAAAGCTGTTTGCTTTGTTTTTATCTTCCACTAGCTGTCAATATGAGATGAGTAAAAGGTGTTACGATGTCACATTTTTATACATGTAAGTGGATCAGTGTATGCAAGGATGAAGCAGGATTTTTCTCTCTCCTGCAAATAGTCAAGTTTGTTTTTCATTACCTCATATTGTGTGCAGGCTGTCATTCTACAGCATGTCAGCTGCCCTTAGGCTGCAGGATGTGCTAAAGTGCAGAGTGGCCGGGTGAAGGGGGAAGCATTTTGGGGGTGGCCTTGGATCCAAACCTCTCTTGGCATGCCGCCAACAAGGGAGAAATCTGACACAAACCTTAGAGCTAGTGTAATGATTTTGTCTCCCATTCATGTAACTGGGAGAGAATATAAAATTAATATATAGAACAGAAAGAGGTGGGAAGGGAACAACCTATCCTTTCTTTCTGTCATGGTCCACATGAGTTGGGATTGCTATGTTCATTAATGCTTAAAAGAAGACTGGACCTTTTTGAGGTTCTGCAAAACTTCTAGTTCTATGAATGAATGTTTATTTTCTGGTTTGATGAATTTTGGAAAACACGATTTGGTTGACTGCAATTGCAAATGTTACATTTTATGCAAGCCATTTTGACAACATTGGTACACAATTTAAGGCTAGCAGAAATATAAAATGAATAGATATAAAAATGGAGCTCGTAGGTTCCAGATGTGGATGCTGAACACTATTTGTTCCATATTTTTAATTTCATGTAATGCCCCTTGTTTGCCAAGGTGCCCCATCCTGGTGGTTCTTAGCTACATCCTTTGTTTACTAATACCATATCCAGATTTGTGTTAAATTTGTCCTGGTGTTAAATTTTGAATCTCACCCAACTACCTGTACTTAAGATAACCACCATAATGATGTTTCAGATGTTCATTTGTTCTTCATTATGTGAGGATTTTTCTGCCAGGTATTTTTAGTCTCTCAGATTCAAAAAAAAATCCAAGGACTGATGCTGTAAAACTTGCTTAGGAGGATGGTGATAGTTATTTTTGCTGGATCTAAAGCAAAAATCTTATTTTCTAATGTTGTTCTACCATGTTGTTCTCCTCCTGCCCCTCTCCTGTGGAACAAACAGGAAAAACAGCTATAAACATGCCTCAGAAGTGAAATCAATCATTTAAGCCTTTTCAACAAGACTGCATGACACCATTGCAGTATGGCTGATAGAATTATATGATGCCTGAGCTTTACCATCTGAAGTGCCTTTCAGTCTATGTTTGGGGCAAGCTCTGAGTGCTAGTATAACCTTCAAAGCCCTCAATTAGTTTGTGGCCAAGTTACTGAAGGATTGTCTCCTGCCATCTATACCTGCTTGGATCCTAAGATTATCTTTGAAAGCTCTTTTCCATGTGCCCTCACTAAATGTGGTGAAGCAAGTAGCTACTCAGAGGGAGCCTTCTCAGCGGAGGTGCCCTGGTTGTGAACTCCCTTACTTGCCCTGCACCTCCATTATGAACTTTTCAGAACAAGGATTTTTTTATTAATTGGATAGCACCAGTGTAGTTTTAAAATTCTTTGCTATAATGTTGTCTCCTCTTGTTGGCTTAGTTTGGCCTTTTGTTGTTGCTAGGTTGCTTTCCTTCACCCCACCTCATTGTAGACTTCATGTTTGCTTTTCTCATGCATCCAAGTACCAAGCTATAGATTAATTTGTTACTACTGCTGCTGCTGGCATGGCAGCTTTAGTCCATCTCTGCTCCCTTTTCAGGGGGAGCTGTACTTCCATTAAATACAAATGATATTTTAATTTGGAGTAGGTGGGAGAGACAACAGAACTGCTGCTAATTTCTGCTTTAGTTTCCTGTGTAACAAAACAAGCTGACCGATTAGGGAGTCAAGAGGAGATGTAGACAACAAACAAACAACCCTTTGGAGGAGCTGTCCAACTGGCACTCCATTTTCCTCTACATGGGAGGGAGGAGACCGAATGCTATTGGTGAAGAACAGACAGCTCAGAAAGTCGCTGGCTTATCATGACTGCAACACAGGCCAAATTTGGACCACTGACCTAGAGAGCTGAAATTTTTCATATCCCATTACCAATCCCCTGGGCCTTCTGGTTTCCCAGATTACAGCACACATTAAATATATTCACCATATACTATCTTCTTACCACTCTTGAAATTAGTATTAATTTAGCATCTAGAGGAATGTAAAATCTTCCTGGACTGAATGGTAATCACAACTACTGTACTGGAACCCTTTTTAATTAAGCCAGTCTCTTCACTGATTATTGCCTAACAGTGCAAACTTTTATGAATGTGTGTGTGAGAGGGAGAGGGGGAGAGAGGGGCAGGCAGGCAGGCAGGCAGAAATATTGGCTGAATATGGGAGATTTCCTGTGTTCAGAATGACTGAATGACTGAACACATGACTGAAGACTGATTTATGTAAACTCATCACTTCCCTTATGTGTCCTTAAATTACATTGTGATCTTCAGATCAAAGGACTGAACTTCCCAGTCTCTTAAGTTCAGAGGCAGCGATTACTATGGCTACTGGCCATGAAAGAGAGTTTTCTCTCCCTCCAAGATGTAAGGAGCTATGGAAATAAAGGACTTTAACCCATTTCAGAATTCCAAGCTGGCTGTGCTTGCTGCATCTGAACACAGATGCTGGTGTATGCCAGGTTGGTGCTGATGTGATTTCATATTCCACAGCCATCTCAATTAGCTCTTATGCCAGAGTCCTCCCATTTCCACTCATCTGCTCCAGAGGCGTTCTGCAAAGGGCCTTCCCAAATATGTGAACCACTTAGGACTGTTATTATATTAAGTAGCAAATAAGTATTACAAATAAGTATTAAATATACATACATTGAACCTCACCAGTGGTTATGGTACTTTGGTCCTCACAAGTGAGGAGAGACGTTTGCTTGTTTTTAAAATGCATAATTACCAATACTTGATATATGGTTAACAGAAGGACCTGAAGTTTTAAATAGAAATAAATCCCTTGGGAAGAAGGTGTGGAACATGGTGGGCCGAAGCCCTGTTCAGGTGCTCTCTTCCTGTGTATAATCAATGTGTGCGGAGACAAAGCATCCGAGTGCCACACCTTCAACTGTTGCCCCCTCTTGCTCATGGAGAGTGATGATCTGAAGAGGAAAACTTCCTGTATCTGTGGAAGATCCATGCTCTGGCTCTCCAGAAAATTTGTGTTCTGGCTCCTCCATGAATAGAGAAAGCTGTCCTTTTCAGTCAGGTATCTTTGCCTGTCTCTTCATGTTGATTATACCCTAGTAAGTGAAGACCCACGGAAGGCTTTGGACTGCCAGCAATGATGTCTTTGAGCACCTATGACAGGTTACTTGGGCAATGCATTTCACTCATTGAGTTGCTAGCAATTGAATTGCTAGCAAAGTGAATTTGGAAGCCCAAGAACTGCCCCCTGTGGCCAATATCGGTAATTGTAGGGACTTGAAACTACTATTCACAGTACTTGCTATCACTGAAGTTGATGATAGTCAAACATTACAGAGATTACTTCTTTAGGAACATTCTTCTTGGAATGCAACATGTAGAAACACTTGGGGCCAAAGTAGATAGTAGGACAGTCTTCTGTTTTTCTAGGGGTATTGTATGTAAAGGCATCCTTTATCTGTTGTGTCCAGTTCTAGGTGAAAGATAAAAGCCTAAGACCTATACTGGTCACCTAGCCACAGTCATCCTCATTATGGCAAGCTGATGTTTATTTCTACTGAAATCCTGATAATTTCTAAATTTTGACTTATACATATAAAGGAGCATGTGCACATTTTATGCAGATCACTGTCCTTTTTCATCCTTCTGGGGTGATGAATTTTGTCTTCTTATGCGATTCATAAGTGACCACCCTGTGTAGCTGCTAGACATACATTTAAAGTCATGTCTCATTTGGCCTTTAATGTAGTGCCATGGTATTTGTCATCACATTATGACTCTTCTCACTCTCTACAGCAATAATGAGAAGTGTGAAGACTTCAGGAATGATTGCCAAGTTTGGCCAAGGAAACGTTTCTAAATATTCCACGAGGAAGTCATTTCAGGTCCCATCCCTGTAGCAACTGTTAATACGTGCTCTGAAATTGTGAAAAGATGCATCTGAGAGGTTCTGATCCCTAACCCTGATTTACTAATGGGAAGATTCACCCTTGCACTGTTCCTCAGGTGGTCACCTCAGAAGTATGTGAAGCTGTTGCAAATGTGAGGTTTTGTGTTAATATAAGCCATAAGAAAGCACCCTGATTCCAGCTGTAATAATGCCCCCATCCTGCAAATAAAAAAAAATGCTGCTGTCATTGTAAGAATTGGGTTGGTCACATATACATCGTATTAAAGGAAAGAGTTGTGCAAACACTTTTGCTTAACTCTATAAACTACACAGAAGTTGTCTCATTTAGGTCCCATTGATGTCTGTAGGTATTTTCCCAAACTACACCGAATATTTTCAATAATACAAGAGACCACTGATTTATTGCTTGAGAAAAAAAACCACAAAATACTCCAAACCCTATGATAATAAGAGTATTGTTCTGCATTTGTTTGTAGTTGGAAATGGAGAAATCGCAGTTGCAAGCCCTCGAAATGGAACATAAGAAGCTATGTGCTCGTCTTGAGGAGGAGCGTGGCAAGAATAAACATGTTGTATTGATGCTAGTGAAAGAATGTAAACAGTTGTCCAGCAGAATCGTTGAAGAGGCTCAGAAGTTGGAAGACGTCATGGCAAAATTTGAGGAGGAAAAGAAGAAAGCCAGTGAATTGGAGCAATCTCTTGCCATCGAGAAACAAAGGAGCACCCAGATGGAGGCCCAGATGGAAAAACAGCTTTCTGAGTTTGACACAGAAAGGGAACAACTGCATGCCAGGCTTGGCAGAGAAGAAGCACAAACCGGCGATCTCAAGGAAGAGAGGGAGAGGATGAAAAAAATGATTGAGCAGCTGAAGAAAGAAAATGAGAGTAAGTTGCACCCTTCTCTCCCAAGGAGAATCAGAGATCGAAGTTCTGTTTCTGTGTCTGTTGGGACTGAGGGACCAGCACTGAGAACACTTGCCTGTCAGACAGATGTGACATTAGTGGATGGTGGAACCGAAAGCATTAAGAAGTTGCCTTTAACTGTACCTATAAAGCCTTCAGCTATCAACCCTTTGCTCCCTGGACACGCAAAGATGAACGTATGTGCCAATGCTTCGTTTGTGAAACCCGTCATGGATAGACATTCTTCCTGCAGTGACCTGCTCCTTTCCCCTACAACCTCCATTCTGACTCAAAGCCAAAACAGAATTGAGGAGAATGGACCAAGTACATCACCCGACCTAACAAGTCTACCTTCCCCTTTTCCAAATAACATTGCACCCAATATGGCACCTCAGAACTACCTGCAAGCTTCGACCAGCACCACTGGACATCAAGGTCTGAATCCACGTGTCCAGGCAGCTAGATTTAGGTTTCAGACCAACGCTAATGACCAAGACCAAAATGGAAACACTACCCAAAGCCCTCCATCAAGAGATGTGTCACCCACAAGTCGAGACAACCTAGTTGCCAAGCAACTAGCTCGGAATACTGTCACCCAGGTCCTTTCAAGATTTACAAGTCCTCAGGGCGCTGCCCCTGGACGGCCGGGAATATCACATTCAATAGACGTTGGCACTTATCCTCCCCCAGTCGGTAGAATGGGTTTAAAGACTCCCAGTGTGTCGAGGATTGACCGAGGGAACCCTCCACCCATTCCTCCCAAAAAGCCAGGCCTTTCACAAACGCCTTCTCCGCCGCACCCACAGCTTAAAGTAATTATGGATAGTGGTCGCTCCCATAATGTAGGTGCCAAAACTGAGGGCAAAACCCTAGTTTCTCCTCCTTCCAGTTCACATCAAGGAATCAGGGTAATAAATGAGGAGATTATTTCTAAGTCCTCACCTCAGCTGCCACCAAAGCCAACAATAGATATATCTGTGGCATCTGCAGGCTGTGCCATACCAGCCATGGCCACATCTCAGGTGGGTGCCTGGCCTTCCCAATCCCCTGGACTGAGCCAACCTGCATGTTCAGAAAGTTCCTTTGTCATTCCCACCACCATTGCCTGTAGCTCCTCCATAAACCCTCTTAGTGCTTCATCCTGTAGACCATGTGACTCAGACAGCCTACTGGTAACAGCATCAGGTAAAGGGATTGTTGATATCCTCCTCAACTCTGTCCCTCTAAAACTGGTCTCTTCTGTTACTACTTTACCATGTTTTTCCCCATTACTTTCTTCTTCCCAAAATTTGTTTTGCCTCTTCTCTTTCTTTTGTTTTCACTTTCCATCTCCATTCTTTCTAAGATTCAGGGGTATGGGAAATCCATTCTGTTTCATATATTCTGGGTTTTTTTGTGCATGTGGCCATAATTTAGTTGCTAGGGGTTTTTTCCCAAAGAAAATAAGAATTTTTCTTTGTAAGATAAATACTCCTAAAATCGGAAGAAATCTTTGTTTTGTCTAAATCAATTATTTCATTCCCTACATATACACTGAGGACTTTCTTTGATTAGGTAAAGCAGCTTCAGAACAGAAGGACAGAAAAGAGACTATTTAACCCATTCCTTCCCTGTTAATGCCTTCTCAATTCTCCTTACTCACCTCTTTCCACTACTCCTAGGGGGTGTTTTATTTCTCAGTGTAGAAGAGAGTACATTTCTGGGAAAGAAAGGGTTAAACATCCCCCTTCCATCCACACTGCATCTTTATTAGATGCTTTGCCTGATAAGAGAGTATTTGGGTATGAATAATTTGTTAATTAATTAATACTTCCCACCCTCCAAGTGCAAAAGAGTCACTCAACATTTCAAGGCTATCATTTATTAGAACAACAATATTTTAAAAATCAGCTAAAGAGGGAGGCTCAGTAATTATCTGCCATGCAAAAGAAAGAAAAGCCTGTGGAACAGTCAGTGGTTCATGGGGCTACATCTGCTGTGATCTGGGCGCAGCAGGCACTGAGAAGGCCCATTGTCTTCTGAAGCTACACCATGCAGCGATGCCTGCGCATAATTGAAGTCACAGTCCAACAACCAAGCTGGAGAAAGCTGACATAACTGTAGTCTGCAGTTTCGCCCTTGTTGCCATGCACAGGAGACTGCAACCACAAACTCATCGCGGCATTAGAATCTTTGACTACCTTGCCAAGTTCAATGAGCTATTTCAGAACTGCCTGTGTATTAGGTGTCCTTAGGGGTCGTTTTCACTCAGTTCCTGAGAACAGGGTAGGAGTGGCTTCTCCAAGCCCTCTCTTGGGAAACCGTATGACTAGAGTTCATCTCTTGTAGCTTAGAAAAAGTTACAACTGAAGGCATTTGGTTGGCTTTATTTATATAGAGGCATTTCCCTGTTGTTCCACTGGTTTAATTGTTTTTCTGAACCATTGCACAGTTGGGTGTAGTTCAAGAGTGACGCTTGGCAGTTGGACGAAAAGGACAAGCAGCTTACGTTTAGCCCAAATGGTGTGTGGCTCCCTGAATCATTCCTGAGAGATACCCAGGACAACTGGCATTGGATGTGCTACAGTCTGGCTTATGTGTACTCTTTGGGTCAAGGGTGGTCAACTCATAGACCTCCAGATGCTTTCGTCTACAGCTCCAATCAGGGATAATGAGAGTTGTAGGTCAAAATATTAGACCACTGCAAGCTGCTCAGCCCTGCTTTGGGCAATGCATTAAATAAATTATGCAACCCCAAACTTAATACTAGTAGCCATGCGGGTGGACCTTCCTTGTCCTTGCACTAAGAATCAAATTTTCCATCAGCTGTTGTGCTGTTGACCAGCATTTGAGTCTTGCAGAGGTCTAGATATGTCCACAAGAACCCCTTTGAGATTATGGCTATGCAGAGAGTCCATGGGAAAGAATGACTGAGATTATTAGAAAGCCACGGACAAATTGCTTGTGATTCTGTTTGTGTTAGCTATTTCAATGTTTCAAAAGAGTCAGTTGTCCTTTATTGATTGATTTGGGCATTTTTGGCCCAACTTTCTGTGATAAAAATGAGGCAAGTTTAAGTTAGCTTTGTTTTGATGTTGATAGGAAAGGGTAACTTCTTTATCAATGAATAATAAAATGGTTCACTTATTAAATAGGTTTCCATTTGCATGGGATAGCATTGTTGAACTAGTAACATATTACCTTTCTTATGAAGGTATATTGTCATTTCACAAAAGACTAATTATTGTAATGGAAGTAAAAAGAAAATGAGGAACTTCCATTAGTACTATTATTACATGGCATTTATATCCCACCTTTCTTCCTCTTGCAAGGAAGTCAAGGTGGCCCCCAAAGCTCTTCTCACCACTTTATCCTCAGGTAAGCTAGGCTGAGAGTCTGTGACTGACCCAAAATCACCCAGTGAGCTTCATGACTGAGTGGAGATTAGAACTCGGATTTTCCAAGTCTGCATACAGCACTGTAACAACCATGCCACACTGGCTTTCCTATGGGATGGTCTATTGGATCCACCAAGGAATACATTTGCTTTTAGACCAGCCTTCCCCAATATGGTGTCCTCCAGAAGTTTTAGATTAAAACTCCCAGAGTTTGTGAGTATTGACCACATGCACTGGAGTTGACATGAGTTGGTATAGTCTTTATTTCTTTATTGTATGTCTATACCACCTTTCTGAAGCCAACCAAGGCAATTCTGAAAAATATCACATAAGTAAAAACATAGTAAACATTTAAAACTATTTTAGAAACCATAATACACATAGGAACTGTAACAACAATTTTAAAAGCCAAGTTAAAAAAAGCTGAAATCAAAAACAGCTGGAGTAAACCAAATTGGGAAAGGCTGTTTTAAATTATTCTTCCCCTTTATTGTCATCATCCTAGGAGACACGTCGCTTTAGCTTATGTAAACTGGCAACAGCACTAGAATACTTTTCTGTAGGCAGCCAGCATCCAAGTGATATAGCTTGCTTCCAGGCATTGCATACTAGTAACCTTTGTGAAGCATTTCACACATGCATAAGTTCCACAGAACGCCCTTCATACCATCTGATGCCATTTTGCTCATACCACAAGACATGGAGGTAGTCATCAGGACACAGGAAGCTTCCTTAGACTAGGCTGGATTGTTTGTCTACCTAATCCAGCATTATCTAGACTGGGGGTCCCCAATACAGGTGCCACTGTGCCTGGTAAGGCCAGCCTGAGGCACTCACCGACCTATGTTCCCCCTCTGTAAGTTCACTTTTGCCAAGACAAAAAAGTTCTCCTTACTGAGAAATGGCTAGAAGGGAAGGTTGAAGTGCATCCCCTGAACCCTCCACAGCTGCTTTTAGCCTGTGCAGCAAGGCTTATATGAGGAGTGGAAAAGTCCCTGCATCCACCCTTCACCAAGATAAATGAATAGATAAATTGCTCCATTCAGTTGCATGGAGACAGGAAAAGAAAGAGGATCCAGAATGAGAAGGGGAAAGGACAGGGAAGAAAAAAGACTAAGGAGAGAGAAGAAGAGCCTGGGAGGAGGAGACGGATTGATACGAGAAGGAAATGGAGCCCCAGTGAAAGAAAGAGATTGAGGGCAGAAAAGAGGGGAAAGAACCAGTGATGCCGGAGCAAGTTTCTCACATACCTGTGGTGCACAATCAAGTTTGTAGAGGGAAAGAGAGAGAAGAAGAAGTTTTGTGATTGGTCTACACCTCACCACCCTACAGTAGGCAATTCATGATGGCACCAAAGACACTTTTTAAAAAATCCCAAATGTGCCCAAAGGCCCCAAAATGCGGGAGACCCTTGGTCTTTTCTGACTGGCAGCTGCTTTCCAGAGTTTCAGGAAGATTTCTTCCACATCTCATAGTACCTAGTCCTTTAGACTCTGGATTAAACCAGAAATTTTTTGCTTCCAAAGCTTGAGCATTTAGTTCTGTGGCCCCTGCATGAACTAGAGGCACAAATATACGTGATTATGCGATAGGACAGCATTAGAACAGGTAAGGACTCTTATGAGCCTTCTTGGCTTCCAAAAGTGCCACCAGGGGACCAGCATCACGGTAGTCCTATGGAACCCATGTATGCACATTATCCTGGTTAACCCAGAAATTCAGCACAGTCACAGGCATGCCTGACCAAAGCCAAGCAATGAAAATGGAATTGTTCCTGAATGTGTTTAGAACTGGAAAGGCTTTGACATGCCAGTGTCATACAGGACAGCCAGCTTCAAGTCGCAGCTGCATTCAGGGCAGTTCCCTTCTTAGCCATGGAGTTTACCATGTGAGCACACTGCAGTCAATCCTATGGTTATGCCAAATGTTGGGAGTCCCAGCTGGAGCATGGGTGAGGATTGCTGGATTCAATCCTCACCCCACCGAATGGCATCAGCAGGAGCTGACCAACGTATGGACATCCAAGCAACACAGCAGTTGCTGTCTGAATGCAGTGCAGCTTGCTCAGGAAATGAAGCAAGGTAGTCCAAGCCGAGACAACAGGGGCAGCCTGCAGGAGCTGAGGGATGCTACCAGTCAGGTGTGACTGGATGGTGACATGTTCAGCTGGGTTCAGCATTTCCCGCCAGAGGGGTATCATTGAAAATGTACATGGATCGGACAGGGGCATTACCAGTGGTAATATGGACCCAGTTGTCTGCCTGGCTTCCTCCCATTTACCAAACTCATTTGTTTCCTAAAAGTGAATGAGGAAGAAAAAAGCAGCGCAGACCATTGGTGCCTCTTTACACTTTGATCAGTAACACATGACCTGAATACCCCATTACCAGTGAGCTTTCCTTTTTCAGGAAATTGCTTAGAAGACACCAGTAATTAGCCTCCATAACTCAACTTCTTAAGGCCAATGATTATCCATTGGGTTTATAGTCCAGAGGAACAGAAGCATGGGTTTTTAATGGCCAGAATGACTGAATTTCCCATGCCCTTGGGATTGTCCATTTCTTTTTCTTCTTAACTTTGCTGTTTTTGTTTTTGTTTTAAATGCCACTTTTCAATCAACATGTGGTTTTATTTCGTTCATTCAGATATGATTTACCTTTTGTATGTGGTTTGCTTGTAATGTGAATGGGGTGCAGGAGAGGTTGGTAATGGACTCTGAAATTAACCATCTCCACAATCTGAAGCTGATGCCAGAAGCTGTTTCCCCCACCACCCACCCTGTTCCTTCCATCCTTCATCACTGCATGCCCAATGCGCTATCCCAGATGCTTCATATTTGCTAACTTTTGCATATGTAACCGCAAAGCTTTCTCATGTTTCCTCATTTTATTATGCAATTTCCTCAGTGAATACAACTCTGTGCTGCTTCCTTGAGAAAACTTTGAAATTGGTGCAGATCTGGCATTACATTTAAACACTGGAATTTGCATATTAAATATGCAATGCAACTATTATCACTTCGGGTTTGTTATGTGTTGTTTTGGAAGGCTTTCTTCTCCATGTGGGGGCTGCTTTACATGCTAAATCTCTACATGGATCTCCTTTCCCCAAGACTCTTACATGCAAGGATATCTGTGTGCATGTGTGATTATCGCATGTAGTAACCTACATGTGCATTTTGGAGCTCTTATATGTAATTGCTTTCCAGCCTAGGACCCTGTTAATTTGTAAAGTGCTTCCTAAAGAAGAGAACATTCAGGTCTGCTAGGAAAGTGAATGTGATATTAATAATACCCAGATCTATCATAATGCATGGTAAACCCACTTTATCTAATGTCTGTATTACTGGGGGAAAATGTCTTGCAATAATTTGAATCCAAAATGATATTATCAACAGCTTTAAGGCACACTCCTATGTCTGTTTAGACAGGAAAGAAGGACTACAATTTCCAGCATTCTGGGAACTGAAGGCATTTTTTTGCTTATTTCTTCATCTAAACACACACAGAATTGTTCTCTTAGCCTCCGACTGGCTTTGCTTATGCTTTCAACCATTGCCAAAGTCTTCCCAACTTTCCCTCCCAACACACATCTGAACAAAAATTACAAATGGTATCCCATCATTTGATTACTAATATTCCAAAACAAGTGCTAAATGAAGTACTTCTTACTGGAAGTTCATCTTTTCCTCAATTCTCCTCTGCCTGCCACCCTGGCTCAACCTGACACCCAAAGAAAAAACTGTTAAGAATTGTGGGGAAATAAGACTTCAGAGCTAAAGACCCCATTTAGCCATGATGTAGCTGTGCTTCAGTACACTGCTCCCTAATAAGCTTTGAGACAGACTGTAACAGCAAGCTGTGATCTATCCACCCTCCTGCCATACGTTCTCCGAGTTGCTGCTGGGTCTCGCTGGTGGCCTAAGACAATGGCCATATAGAAAACAGCCCCCGTCCCACTTCAGTAATTGTCTCTGTAATTCCTCTTCCCTTGTTGGTTCACTTTTTAAGGAGCATCCAGGTGATGCCATTGTCCGTTCACAGCATTCCGGTTAGTCCTCTTATCTGATTTGGTGTGATTTGAAGTTGGCATAATAGAATGTCTTTGCAGCATAAACCTGGCTAGTCTGGACAGGCAAAACACTATCGAGTCTTTAAAGACTCCTGTGCCTTTAATGAAATGCTTCTGCTCACATTTTGAGCCATTTTAATTGTTTCTGGATTAGCATGGATGGGCATTAATGCCCTTCAAGTAGTTTCTGTTATTTGCCACAATGTAAGTTCTGTTCCCAGCCGTCAAGCAACCATCCTCTGATTTTTCTTTCTTTTTTTTCATATTTAGAGAGTGACTACACACTATTTCACTATTTAAAATGAAAAGTAAAAAATAGACATAAATCGGTAATTCTTCCGCCCTACCACACACACAAAATAACAGAATCCATCACCTGAGCAAATAAGAGAGGCTATTCAAAGTACAATTAGGAGGTTATTCTTCACTAATCATGCACCCATGCTCATTAAGAAACAGTAACGTGGCTGAACCTGCAAGGAGAAAACTTAACGTTACTGGAATCCATTGTCAAATGGGGTTTACTTTTGAGTAAACATTATTAGAGGGTCTTGGCCATAGGGAAAGCATTGCTGGATAATGTGTGGTTGAACTCCATGGTTAAACTCATGGATAGAATGCCATTTTAATTCTCATTCCAGCTCTCTGAGGAAAAGAAATGCCTTAGAAGAGTTAAAAGAGTCTATTGTGTAAGCAACCTGAGTTAAAATATAAAGGCTACTTTCATATAGATATATATTTCATCTGTTTGTTTATCCTTCTGCTTCATCCATCTTTTCCATTAGGCATTATAATGTTTTCAAATTGTTTGAACTTTTTTATATGATGCTTCTAAATTCTTACATTGGTTTATAGTTCTTTAGATAAGAAGAAGTCATGTGGAATTGAAACTGATTTTTATGTCCCTTTCCTTTTTTCATTTTCTCTTCTCTTGTGAACATTCAAAACTTTCTGCATGAACGCAGAAGAGATATTGAGCCTAGTATGAAATTGATTCATTATACATTTTAATGCATAACATACTGGAATTGAATCCGAGATGGCCCTCTGTGAAGGACTTACTGTGGTTGGCCATAGGTGCTGCTTACATCTAGGCAACCATCCTGGGCTACTATGGAAATCTCAGCTTTGTATCCTCTACCTGCTAGATGCATCATCATAAGATAGTCCAAACTTCAGATCTCTTAAGGTATCAAATCCAGCCTGACAGAGGTTCCAAATCAGCCCTTCCTTCCTTTGTCCACCCATTTTCCCTTGGCCACCAGTTATTTGGTGGTTTCCCAGCTTTTCTTCATCCCCATCCCCTTCCTTGAAAATGCCTCTATTCAGCTTTAGTTACTGACAGTAGTAAGAGCTTTAAGCTAAATTATGCTGGTATTTTTGGCCCAACACCTTTTTGCTTTTGGCCCTGCTGCTTTTGGTCTTCTCCCTTACCCACCACTGAAATGTGGCCCCGGAAAGTTTCTCTGAATTTTTTTCCAAGCCCCTTGCCTACAGTATAAGAATATTCTCCATATTTTTTCTGTGTTATCCACTCCACCTTCTCTTGAAGAACCCCTAGGTTACCATGAACTATTTCATGGCAAAGCTGTGTTGGTCAAACGGCAGAAAATTGGTATTGCCAAAGGGGTAAATACCATCAAGAAGAAAAAGGCTGCCCTTCCTGTTACTTTACTTTCGATTATCTGTCCTCCTTTTATCCTTTCTGCTCCTCCTGTTCTTTTCGCCATCCTGCCTCTGCCACATCATCCTCTCCATTTAATGATCCTTGTTGTCCGTTTTCAGTTTCCCAGTCCCTTTCTGTTGGCCCTTGGAGACACTGCTCTCAGCCTTAAATATGCCACGAGCATGCCACCTTTAATGAAATCCTGTCACATTGATGTAAAACGAATTGACTCCAGAAAGGAAGACTCCACATTGAATTTAAAGGAGCTGAACCAAGGCTGTCATGGATTGGGCATTTTGGAAAGTTTTCATACATAGGTTAAGTTGGAGGCAACTTGACGGCACATAACAACAAGACGGATGTCAGTTGATTATAGGCACGGCAGCTTTTATAGACGTGTGCACACTCCAAAAAGGCGATAGAAATGATAAATTACAAATAGTACCATGTTCAGTGCTTTAGGTACTAAATTCATGGCCATTCTAATTCATAGCATGAACAGTTATTATAAGCTGAATAAGGAGTGCAAATCCGTTTAGGATTTCTCTTTTTCAATGGGCAAATTGCACTTAACAAGCTTCTCTATATTCAATCCTCTTTTCTATTTCTTTTGTAGCATTTGGATCAAGGAAGAGTTCACAAAGTCTTCCGCACTCTATACAGCAAACTTCATGCCCTTAATAAACTCTCCTCCAAAGCTGCTAACATCTGATACCTGGAATGTCTAACCAAGATAACTCCTCTGATTCTCTAAAGTTCTGCTCTGCCAGTTGCCTTTCTTACTGTATGATGTAGAAGCTTCTGCCAGTAATTTTGCTGTAATTCACTAATCAGTGTTCTTCCTGTAAAAACAAAAATTGCAGCATTGCCAAGTTAAAATGATTGTGCAGGGTGTAAGCCAGCTAAGGAACTAGAAGGCATTGATCACAGGGCCTCTAGTCACTTGTCTGAGTTTTAAATGCACTTTCAACTAAAATTGTCTATTGTATTTTTAGTGCTTAATGGAGAGAATGTTAATAAAACATTCTGTTTGCACATTTTAAAAAGGGACATAATCATATGTTTAAAAATAATCACAATCCATTATTAATTCTAATTTTACATTAATGCTAGAATAACTTTGAGCTAGTTGTTCAATTTAATAACAAAGATGGGGGGAGAGGATTTTTGAAAAATCTGGACCTTGGCAACTGGGTAGAAAGTTTCTTAAATGTTTCCTTATGTTTATCTGCAATATTAAGTATCTGTTTAGCTTTAGTAAACAGTGAAATAACTTTTCTTGATTGTGTGTGACTTTAACTGTCTTTGGATGCAAATTTTAAAAAACATACCAGAGTTATGCTAAATGTTTATAGGTGCTGAAATGACAGGGAGTCTGAATCTTCTGTGGAACGATATTTAATGGCTTGCAAAGTGTGCAGCTGTAACTTCTTGTGTGTTCTCTCTAACGGATGTTGCTTTTAACTCACAGGCTGGTCTCCCTCCCTAACCCCTTTATTAATGAGTGGTGGTCCTGTCCCCCTGGGTGGCAGGCCCACCCTTCTTCACCAAGCTGCTGCCCAGGGAAATGTCACTTTATTGTCAATGCTGCTTAATGAAGAAGGTCTGGACATTAATGATGCCTGTGAAGATGGCTATTCTGCCTTGTATTCTGCTGCTATGAATGGACATACAGGTAAGGGGTCATCAGAGGTGCTACTTTATTACCCTCATTCTTTTGTAGTTATGGATGGGATGGGTGAGAAATTTATCCTGGTGATTATATTCATGTAATTAATACTGTATGTTTCTACTCAGAAATAGGTCCTTCAATAGGGCTTACCCCAGGTACATGGGAATAAGACTGGACTGTTGCTAATGCAATACTTACCGTGACCTTGAATTCTGGAAGGTTGAAAAGAAAGCAATAGGTTGTTAGTTACCATCAAAGTAGTACTGAGAAATTTCAAACAAATGAAAGATTGTTTGCTCAAATAATCTTGGTCATACCTTATGCATGTATAGCACTTGCCTGTACAAAGCATGATAGGAGCTGAATAACTCCTGGTATAGTGTGGTCTGAAATGCAGTAGCTGTCATTGCTTCTACCCAACAAATAACAAAAGCTTTGATGAGCACGCAATATGTTAGAAAATGCCTGGATTGTCAGTGGGCTGTTATGACAGCAAGCTGGATTTGTTCTCCAAATAATGAACTGTAGTAGTAATGAATCCAGTATATTATTTCTGCCAGTGAGGAGTGGGTGGTTTCCATGAAATCCAGGCTCAACTCCCTGGTCAGACATTACTTTGACTGAGTCGCCTCAGGCGAGTCATACTGTGCATCTGCTTGACTATATTTCTGCTTAACAGGGGTTGTTGTGAGCCTGAACTGCTGCTCTGTGCTCCTTCTCAGAAGGGCAGGAGAAACCTTTTCTGGCATACGAACCAGTGCAGATCCTGTACAGCCAGATCTTGCAGCCTGGGGAGTCATTTTTAGGCATTAAGTGTTCTGCATCAGTTCAAGGGGACAAGAATGTTTCGCTTCACAGAAAATCCTACGTAGAAGGCTGGAGAACTGTGCCAAAGGGAGTGACTGTCACATGCTGAAGGGATTTCCACCAAAATCAACCACAAACACCTTCTATAAGCAGCACTCTTCCATTCATGGATGGCTGATGATCTTGGTCCAATTCCATTTCTCTAGTTTAATTTAGCCCACTGCAGAAAATATTGTGTACTGGATGGACTAAGAGTTAAATTCAGCATTAATTTACAGGGGAACTTGCAAGAGTTGCCACTACTGTGCTAATGGTTGCAGAGGAACTGGCAGAAATAATGCAAGCAGCACCTACTCTGGTGAAGTTATAACATTTGTGCAAATGCTTGTGCAAGGATTTTTGGAGCACGTAGTACAATATTTTGTGTAGGAGGATTAAGTATTGGCCTGATATTGCACAAAGAAAAACACAGAAGCCTTGTGCTAGCAGAATGGCACCAATGGATGCTGCTCTGTGTGATATATAAATAAATATTGCTCACCAGACACTCTGGAGCAGAGACACTACTATCATCGATCACTCCCCTTGTGCACATTACACATGACTTACCCAAATGGCACATGTGACAGAATTCCCTGAGGAATATTTTATGATCCTTGAACAGCAAATGCGCAGAAAGCAATCTGGTGGGTCAGCGGGAAAGTGTAAAAATGGGGACGTGTGGCTGAAAGTGTAATTATGATATGAATGTAAGAAGATTATTGCTGGATAAGAACAGCAGGTCCAACATCCTGTTCCTACAGTGGTCAGCCAGTTTCCTCCATTTTGAAACCAGACTGGAAGGCAATTGCTTCTCATAGACTGTGAATGTATTTATTTATTAGATTTATATCCCACCCTTTTTCTTACAAAGAACTTAAGGCAGATTACATAATCCTCCTTCTGCTCCCCACAACAACAACATGAGGTAGGTTGGGCCGAAAGTCTGTGACTGGCCAAAGTCACTCAGTTGGCTCCATGACTAAATGGAAATTAGAACCCTGATTGCCGGAGTCCCAGTTCCACACTCTTAGCTACTACACAACACATGCACCACACTGAATGAGAGGCATGGTATCTCTGAACCTAATAACCACCAGCAATTAGGTAGTCTTTTTCTTTACCAGTTTGTCCGAGGTCCTTACCATACTGAACATCCTTCCCACTTGGGTTCCAAGCCAGGTCTATGAGACCCCTTCCCTGGTCTAACCCCCTTAACCTGACCACTGATCATTTGGTAGCCTCCCAGCCTCCAGCTTTGGTGCCCTTCTAAAAGGTTGAAAGGCACCTCCTAGGCTGGTATTTTTTGCCCTGCCCCATATGCCTTCAGTCCCACCCACCACTGAAATGCAGCAGACAAGAGCTTCTGTGGAATGAAATTCAGCCCTTGGGCTGCAAGTGGTTCTTCATCTCATTGTGTGTACTTATCTCAGGGACAGGGTAAGTCCCCTTAAATAATTTCACAAGAGCAGGACTGCAGCTAAAAAACTTAAAAATGAGCTGCTGAGTGGGTATATTTTTTATTTGATAAGTTTATAAGGCGTCCAGTTTTCAGACCGTTTTGTTTTCTGTTCTCATATATCAATCAGTCTTTGTGCTTTCCAACTTACAGATTGTGTAAGATTGCTGCTGACTTCCAAAGCACAAGTTGATCCTGTTGATAAAAATGGCTTTACACCCTTATGTTCAGCAGTTGCTCAGGGACATTACAAGTAAGTCACATGCCAATCATGTATTGCTCCCCATGTGAAAACTCCCCATGTAAAAACTGTTTATACACACTCCAATCTTTTTTGAGTTGTAGAATAAGCACATGCAGTCAACAGCCTCTTCCTTTGTATATTTCTCAGTGCAATATCAATTATTATTGTTGGATTTTCTGTTAGAAATTACGATACACATGTGTTTCTATGACTAAAACTGTTTCAGTTTTGATAGCAGAGTTCAAGGGTCCCTTTCAGATATTAGGTACATTTGTTTATGCATGTTAAGTTCTAGTCTTGAAGGGTTTTTAAACAAGACAGAAATAAGAAAGTAAATTGGGCTTCTTGTGTCTTGCTTTCTTCAGATGTATGTCCCTGCTGAGGCTTTGAATTGATTTATGGTCCAGTTTTTACTGAAAGCCTTCTCCGACATTTCTCCAAGCACACAAATTAAGATTAAATGAAAAGCATATGCTTTAACTGGCAGCTGATGGGGAGACTGCATTCATGGATAGATATTTTTTGCCTTTGATCCTTCAGGAGTGGTCTGCTCACACAAAGCCTTCTCGGTTGGCGTATAGTGTGTCAGAGAATGAGGATGTTTCATTTAACACAGTGCCTGGGGAAATTGCTTAAAAGCACGGCCAACTTTTATGGTGCATGGATCCTGACTAACCCTTTTGAGAAACTGATTCAGTTCTGCTCTGAGTAGTAGGGTACTAAGTATACTGCTGGTGGTGGTGGTACAAGGTAATGATGTTGATGTAATGCACTTGTAAACATTGCCTGATCCTGTCCTGGTATACAAGTGTGAGAAGCTATTTAACTTATCTTCAGAAATAAGAGAGCTATAATGTTGTGATCCTCATTATGTTCATGGTGCTTTGACAGAAATCTGTCTGCTTTTTTGCTTTTTAATGCCTTTTCCCCCAAACCATAGTGGTTAGGGTATCCAGGTCTTCATCTAAATAAAACACAGATAAAAACTTTCAGCTTTATCCTAACCACATGCATGCATTAGAGGTCAATTCCATTGCATGAAGTAGGACTAAGTAGGGCCTGTGACCAAGAAAATTAATGGAGAGTTGTAGCCATATGCATTTTAAGGAGATTCATATAACATTCAAAAATATCATTCCAGTAAAATGGTGCATGCCATTTCTTATTCTAGTTATTTTCATTCATGGGAGCTTGAATGAAACTTCAAGCTTCAAACTTGCTCCCGTGTCAAATGCTATAGTGTGTTTGCATGTATGTGGCTATTGGTGTGGTGTTATCCCTACCTCTTGGTAAGACAATGCCAAAATATCCATGGAGTATTAGGCATACCAGTGTTACATTTTTCTTTCCCTGTTACATTTTTTAAGTGGCTCTGCTATGAATGGAAATCACAGCATGGGAGGGAACACAAACAGGCTGACAATCATGTCTGTTTGCCCTGTTTGTGCTAATTCAGCTCTAACAGGGATAATTGGTTTGCTTATTTATATGCCTTCCAATCCTGAAGGTCCTGAGCTGTAAAAACATGGGATAATAGAATGGAGCATGTAGTTATATTGTTGGGAGAGAGAGCAGGTGACTTAGGAAATGCCATTCTGATCTGCTGAGTACTTCACATTCCTTGTTTAGTGAAGATCTGTGTCACTTTTCTGTAAAAATATCATAGGCAAATAGAACTGATAACTTGTCAGATAGCTTAGCATCCATCCACATATTTAGGATTCATATAGATTCATATCTTAACATCTTTTTCCTTGCCACGCATTGGTGTGGTTGGTATTGTTGCTCTCCTAGCAACAATCTGGCATTCAGATCACTGAGATGCTGTTATTATTGGCTAGAAGCAGGCATATTTCAGGCAGGTGTGGTGCAGGTTTCCCAGAGGGACTGTCAATCAACCTAATTCCCGACCTGTAGGCACCCTGTTATTCCACTTAGAGATGACATCCCTTCAGTAGAAATTGTCACTTCTGCCAAATCACTCTGTGTTTTGTTAGATTGTGGCCCAGAGTTCAGCTCACAATTGTGAGGAGATCCAGAACTGATCTCAGCTCCCATCATTTGGAGGGTAACATGTTGATTCATGGCTGCAAATTTGCATTCCTCATTCTCCCCCATGCACACAGTCTCTCAGTATGTACATTTTAATTATTTCTGTAGCCTTTGCTCTCATCTCTACTTCCTGTCAATCCACAAAGCTCCTGCTTCATCCTCCTTATCTTTGAATATTCTTGGGCTTCTATTCCCTCCGTTATTTGCTGCCTCTTATGTTTTGCCTCCATTATGTTTTGTCTTCTTCCTGCCTCAGTCTTTTTTCATCTCACCTGTCTTATTCCATATCTCTTCTGCTTCTCCCTTTTCTGACCATGCCTCTTCTTCAAACTCAGAATCCTTCTGCTTGCCCTTAACCACTATTGAAAGCAATCAGAAAAGGAGTTGGGAAGCCAAACTGCATGTTAATACTAATAGCATAATGGCCAGTTGAGCCCTTTTGTAAATATGCATGGCCCTGACTTGGATTGTGACTGCCACACCCCGGGAAAGGACCTAGAGTGTGGAACTTTGAAAAGGGGTAGGAAAGTGTTTAATTGGTCCCTCCCAATCAGGGCACGTAGACATACACCACAACCACAGCAAACAAACCTAACCCTCAGCTACATGCTGTGTATTCAAGTACTGTGAAGTTGGTTCTGAGGTACAGAGCAGGAAATGCATCCAACATGTATATTATATTACAACGACGCTGTTTAGTTTAGAGGATACTCTTGACTACAAGAAGGAAGAGTACTTCAAATGCAGCGCAAAAATAACAAAACCATTCTAACTAGTTGAGTTGTAAATTCTGGACCAGAATCCCCTGCAAATCCTTATGGAACGAAGACATTTCTTAGAAATTCTGTGCCCATACCTCATTTGTGGCTAGGACAGGGTCAGGAACCAAATAATAAGAGATTTGTCCCAGCCAAAGGCTGGTGTGGATGGAATTTCCACTGGGAGAATGTAGTGGGTGGACCTTCCTCATGCTTAGGATATAGCTCTGATAGCCTCAATTTGGAGTGAGAATTAATTTTTATTCTATGCTAGTGACAGGGGGACATGCTTTAAAAAACCCTGTAGCATATATTTTGATTTACTTGTTTTAATCAACAGATACTTAAATCAAAAGTTGTTTGCATTCTACCAAGCCCTTCTGGATAGCATGTTTATGCAGGAAGTTGCCACGTAGACATTACATTCCCAACCCACGTGGCTTCCCACCCAGGAATACGCCATGCCCACTGCCTCTCAGGCCTATCTCCTGATGGGGTCCCTTTGATATGCAGTTCTCATTATACTATCTGGAGTTTGAGTTTTTTATATCTGCTGCTCTGGGAATAGATTGTGTTCCTGTCCTTGTGACTGCTGTGTTAATAAGCAAGAAGAGTAATAAAACAAAAACAGTTTCTGAATTCTAGTAAATTTTCTCAGTGTTTCTTTCTTGTATATTATACAGCCTGCAATCTTCATTAGCTATTGTCTCTCTCCACATACTTGGATGAGAGTCCCCCTATTTTCAGTATTCCTACCTCCATTTTAGATCCCGTGTGGGTTACTAACTGTAAGGCTTTTAAGCCAGTACATTTCTTGCTGTAATCTAAGTATGCTTGAAGAAGGTGTTGTAGCTGAGTGGCATTTTAAAAGTCAGGTCTTTTCCAGGTCAGGTGTTCTTCTAACATGTTGCCCAATTTTTCCACCCCTAGATGTGCAGAAATATTAATCATGTATCACGCTGACGTTAATCATGCTGCTGAAAGGGGAGAGACACCTCTTTACTTGGCCTGTGGAAATGGAAATAATGAATGTGTCAAACTCTTGCTGGAAGCTGGAGCAGACAGAAGTGCAGAAACCTGTGTAAGTTTGAAAGCCCATTTCTCAAAGTCAACATTTCAAGAAAACAGAAGTGAGCCACTTCATAATGGCTTTGGTTGAGACATATATTAAAAACCTTAATTGCTTGACTGGTGTGCTTCAAAATGGCTTCTGCTGAGGCATTTATTAATAACCTTAACTGCTGTACTGCATACAATTCTTTGGAATTAATTAAAGATTTCACTTTTACATGGCTGTATGTCACTGTAAAGTGCCTTCAATGACATTCAATTATTTATTTTCCCCTAAGATTTTTGAAATAATTATCTTTTCTGTCATCCTTCCTTACAGACGTAGAATTTGAAGTGTCTTTACTCACAGCCTGCTCCTGCAGCCTCTCAATCTTTATACTGTTGACTTTGGTAGAGACATTTCTTGTCTCGGATGCAAAGCTTTGGACAGTTTGCTTATGAGAAAATTGTTTTACTCCTTCCTAAAGAAATCATTAGCCACCCTGCAAAGATGAGGATCCTTCAGACTGTTTGCTGTGTTCTTGAAGCAAATGAGCAGACTAGCAGAACAATCCTTTGAGTATCCAGGCCGTGTTCCAAGAATCCTGTGCTCTTCTGACAAACTTCCAGCAGAGCAGTGAAAGTGCTTTTTGCCCCTCCGTGCCCGCTTCTGCTTTAGGGGGGCGGTGTCCAGTGATTCCTGGGGGCAGGAGTAGGGAGGCTCCTTTCCTGCATGTCCTGTTTGCATCCTTGGATGAGAGAGCCACCATAGTGCTTTCAGTGGCAGCCGCAGGGGGTGGAAGAACAGGGGAAACCCCAATTCCGATTTCCCATTCCAAGGCCGTACTAGTGTCTGTGGTCTCTAAGGGGGAATTCCACACCATCCTGTGGTGTCTGGAATGCCCTCCTAGGGACCCTACATGGGGCTGCTTTCCAAGGGATATAAAGCAAATCTGGCTAAAGCAAATAAGGAAGAGTCTTCTCATTTTCCCAAGAACCTCAGAACAAAATTAATATTTATTTCATTTAATACATTTCTGTAGCACCCAACAGCTGAAGCTCTGCAATGTTCACAGCCATAAAAGGAAGCAGTTAAAATAAGTCCATCCATAGAATGAGAAATGACCCAGATGCTTTGTTTCACAAGTACTAGCATTATAACCTTTGAAAACAAATGGGCATTTAAGTCACCTATGAACAAATGGACATTTTTATCTCACTGGCTACAGCAGCAGCGCACCAGGTGCTGTGCTGCTGAGGCAGGAGAACACTGCTGCTCAGGCTGCCCACCTGCTGTTGCTCGTTGTCCTCCCCTGGACAAGAGGTCGTGTGGCCAGGTGCTGCAGAGAGCCACTCAGGAATCCTCCCTTGAAGAGACATCGTGAGGTGGCCATGGAGAGTGCCAGTTCTTCATGGGTACAATGCCTTCCTTTGAGGAAGGACCCCTGCGAGCATGGTGTTCTGGCCTATGTAGCTCTCCAGCTGCCCCATTTCTCGTTCGGGGGCTCTTCCAGAGCAAGATATCAGGCAGACTCTCTGGGGAGGCTGTCTGGAAGCTTGGCCTCTTGCTCTGAGGGACTCTTCTAAGTGAGAGACCTCTGAGCCCTTTCCCAAACAGCGAGATTGGGCAGGTGGCCTTTCCAGAGAGTTTGCGCCCTGAACTTCCTTGTTGGGATCAGCAATGCCATGGGGATTCTTCCGTAAAGTGCACACTCTCCCATTCAGAGACTGGAAAGAGCACAAGAGTTTCTCTGCCTGGCCAGGGCTTGCAGGACTGAGTCCTGCAAACCCCAAGCAAGCTTCACACATGCCACTTGCCCTCCCAGCTGCATCAGATCCTCTGTGCAGGGAGGTAATCCAGATTCCAGCCCCTGAATGAAAATAGGATGCCCTCCACTCCCTTTGACCAGGGATGGGTAGACAGGCTGGTACCTTCAAGATGATTGGACTGGGATTTCAGTTATCTTTGGCCATTGGGCATACTGGCTGGGGTTTATGGGGACTGTAGTCCAAAACATCTGGAGGGCACCAGTTTGGCTGTCCTTGCTTTACACCAACAGGAGTGCAGTGTTATGGCTACTTTCCATGATGGGTAAATGTGACATTCAGGGCCAGATGCAACCCATAGCCATCTATGAGGAAGAGGATGCTAGACCAAGTAGTCCTGTGCCCTGCTACAGGCCTGTGCTTTTGCATACTTCCTTTAGTTCAGGGGTGGGTGGGCAACTTGTAGGTCAAAACCTCTGGACAGTCACAACTTCTAAGCTTCCTCATCACTGGCTGTGCTTGCTAGGGCTGATAGGGCTTACAGCAAGCATCTGGGGGGCCCTCAGCTCTGGAGCAACCAGGTTGGCCAGTGTAGTAAGTGTGCTGTTTTGAAGACTTAGCGATATATTAAAATATTGTGGAAAAAACATTAAAGGCTGAGTAATAAAAAAGAAATAAATTTCCCTAATTTGAAAAAAAAAATCTTCTCCACTCTGATGTTTCCTAAGTCCATATATCAACTTTCTTTTCCTCGCAGGGACTGATTCATGTGTTTTTATAGCAATGATCTCAGTGCATGAATATTATAGAGTAGTGGTTTTCAGTCTTTTTACAGTAAGGCCTTTCTTTCACATAAGTCTGACAGCTTGAGCCTTAGCTTTACAACTGCCACAAATCCTGCAGCAAAGCATTCCCACCTTCCATTCAGGACACATTTTCAGTTCCTGTTAGGTCTCCATGCAGAAGAAGTGCTCCCCGTACTGCAAGGATGTAGAACCACCCAGCCAGGTCTCAGCCCTGCCTTTCCCAGCTGGCAATGCTCCCTTGTCCTGGCCCCAGCCTGTTTCCTCCAACTAGTAATTATTTGGTAATTTCCCAATTTGGTGTGTTTTTCCCCATTCTAAAAAGTTAAAATACCTCTCCCGGGGCTTATTTACTGGCAATAAGAGCTTAAAGCTAACATATGCAGGGACTAGGAGCATTTTGACCCTGGTTTCTTTCTTCGGTTTCTTCTTTGAGAACGTCTCTGAAATAGAATTCAGCCCTCGGCTGAAATGGTTCACCATCCATGCCTTACAATGTACCCCATACCACCCTGTGTGATGGGCTGTGGCTTAGTGGAATTGGGGAATTAGGGACTTAGTCTGCCATCACCCATCTCCTGCTGAGGAACATGTGATAAATTCCCAAGAACATTGTTTGAAACAAAATTAAACAGCAAGCATACACACTGTACTATTAAAATGATACCTCTGTAACATTCAATTAACAGTGTGTGTATTACATTCAGGGGGGAGATACCACATTTGGCCCAAGGCTTCTTATCTTCATTATGTCCCCCAGTAGTGAGTGAATTGGACAATGGATTGTTGTTCTGTTGTAGCAATCTTTTTCTTGTATTGGACAATGTGGTGGTGGCGGATTCCTCTTAAGGATGTGGCAGCCATTTGCTATGGTCAGCCTTATAGCAGAAAATAAGAAAACACAGAAAATGGATCAGAAGTAGAGCAGGTACTTGTTGGAGGAGTCAGGAACTTCTGATTCAGTGGCACAAGACTGAACTCCTCCATGTTGTACACCCAGCACCTTCCATCTGTGAAAGACGTCATCCAGAATTATGTTTGTAATGTGTCATGCCTTTCTTTAACAAGATAGATGTGATTGTTTTGGAAATGGTAGGTCAGATCTTTGTAACACGTGGCTCCAAGCTGTTGCCAGCACACCAGCCATGTACTGCAACCTATGAGGTGCTTGATAAGTGCACTACAAGAACAGATCTTTCTCATGTAACTGGCAAATTGCAGTTCTGGGTATACCTTAGAGATGCTTTGTTGTACAAATCAGGGATAAAACCTAGGACTGAAAACATAGCAGAGTCTTTGTTAAAAAAAATGTTGTGTGACAAAATATAAGACAAAATTCCTCTACATATTTACTCAGAAGTAAAGTTAATTTCAGTTAGAATTATTTCCAAGTAAGCAGATAAAGGCTAGCAGGTGAATTCCCGATCCCGCACAGACTTATCTGGAAATGTACACTGGGACAATGTGACTTACTTCAAAATAGACATTCATAGGAATGCACTGGAAGTTTGGTCCATGCCATATATTAATCAAATACCCCAGGTAACAATGTAATTTGTTGTTGTTAATTTTATTTCTGTAATCGCCCCCCTATTTATGGATGGTTTACAACCATAAATTAACTAAGGGTCATAGTTTATTATTTTGATCAATGAGTATTAAACCACAGGACTTCAAAACCTGCTGCTTAAAAACAGAGACCCAGAGCAAAGGCTCTTCAAAACATCTGACTGAAATAGATGCAACAGATTTGATAGCAACCATGCTATCAATTTCAATTCTCACCCAGACTTTTCTGCCAACCTGCTGACTTTTTCCCCCCTCTCCTTACTCTGAGATCCTTATTCTGCTTTATGATAATTCCCCGGTGAGGTAATGCCAGTTTGCTTAATGTATTACCAGACTGCAGGATTTCCACAGAGACAGGAATTCATGACCAGGTGCCCTGAAAGTCTTCCACAACCAATCCTGCCAATAGACAGGGGTGAGTGAGATGGGCAGGGGAGGAGACTGGAGCACTCCCACTCTCCCACCTTGAAGCTGGGAATCTGAACTATCCTGTGCTGATGCCCCTGCACCCCATCCCACCTCCCAGGGTCTAGGGCTTATAAGATTGATCCCTTAATTAATTACTGTTATATATTTCTGGCAGGGAAATGAAGAGACAGTTGTGGGATTTTCTATGTTGGCCTTGGGTACTATATACCTTAGGTTGTGGAGGGTGGACTCTTCCTTGCTTGAGTATAGGCAGCAAAATATCTTGGGTCAACCCTGCTGTGATGTCTTTTGGTTCAGTTCAATTAAAGTTCTGTCAAATGGAGTGGCAAACAATTCCTGTTTCCTTCTATTCGAGACCAAGATCCATAAAGCCACAAGGAACTGGCTTGTAAAAAGGATTTTGAAACAAGTATGAGTGTAATTCTTCTGATTTCTCCTGTACTTAGAACTGGCTTCCTAACAGGGAAAAAATGCATTAGCAAAATGATGACAGACCTAGGTGAGTGCTGGGAAAGAGCATAGATGGTTAAGCTATGCAGAAGTTGGCTGCCTTTTCTTTTCTTCACAAAATAAGGAATGCTGGAAAGTTAGGCACATGCTTGTAATTTGTTGATTCGGTGAAAAATGAAAAAAATCACTGCACAGTCAGTTTGAATGTAATGATAACTTGGGGAAAAAGTAGTAATGGAGGAAAGATACAAGTTCAGATGTTGGCTGTTTAAAATGAATTCATCAAAGGAAAGCTAAGGATTAGAAATGCTTTTCCAGAGCAGCTGTGCTCACTTTGTTATGCTAATGTAGGAAAGACTTAACACTGTAGAGAGCCCAAGAGAAGGAGTGTGCTTACTGAAAGCTATACAGAATTGCTAATAAAGAACTCAGACATCTGACAAGGATCTGGTAATGGTCATGTCAGCCTTCTATAGCAGCCTGTTTTTATGGTATAGTTCCATAAATCTAAAATCATCCATTACAGTGGGCTTGATTCTCCTCATTTTGACCTCCATTCATGGACCCCCCCCCCCAAAAAAAACAGTAACTTTCACCAGTATTGTTCAAGGAAAGGACTCTCTGCCCCGTTTTTCATTATATACCAGTACACACAGAGTTATCTGCGGAAACAACAGACAAAACATTCTCTGTCAAAACATTTACGGCCAGGCAACAGACAGATAGTTAGCAAACAGCCAGTTTGTTTTCAGCCTTTTAATTTTCCTTGCTTTAGGATGGCTGGACACCATTTCACGCTGCTGTAGATGCTGATAATGTGGACTGCCTACGATTTCTCATGTACTATGGAAAGCCAGAAGGTGGAAATGATCTGAATGAAACAAATGCTAATTCATGCATCTTTGACCTGGAGTGTGAAAATGACAGCTTTAGCCATAAAGCAAAGTGCACTGTTTCTGCAGATCTCATCAATCACTCTGACAAAGATGGCTGGACTGCAGCCCATATAGCAGCATCAAAAGGCTTTAAGGTCAGTGTTACCACCAAACTTGGGGCCAAATTAAACATTTTTCAATTCACTCGTAGCTCTGTGTGATTGGATTATTTTCCTTAAAGTAAATAATCCTCCTATTTGGATCAGAATAACAGTATTCTGGGAAGGAGGGAATATAAGATTTTCCACCTGTTTTTGTCCTAAAATTCCACACACAGCCCATGCACAGTGGCTTAAAAAAGAAAATGTGTGATTTGAAGAAGGTTTAATTTAACCTTTACTGTATATAAATAGATGGTTTGCTATGACGCAGTATCAAGACGAAGTGGCTGTTCCACCAGTGTGGTCTATGAGACACCTGTCATCTGTGTGGCCAGTGGGGAAAAGTGTGTGTGTGTGTGAGAGAGGGAGAGGGAGAGGGAGAGGGAACAAACGAGAACTGCTAGTAGGGCTGTTTTGATTTCAATTTATGTTAATAGTTCAAGATAAGGTTTATGACTATCAACCCATCTTTATTAAATACGTAGTTCAGTTAAGGGCACTAGGACTCTTGGCAAGGAAATACATGGTTGTGGAGCCTACTCAGTTTCTCCTCTCGAGTAAATGCCAAGAAGCATCTGTTATTATATACTGCATTTATATGTCACTCCCTTTCCCCTTGCAAGATACTTAAGGCCTGCTTTACTCATTTTTTCCCTCACAACAACAACCCTGTGAGGTAGGTTATGCTAAGAATGAGTGTCAGACCCAAAGGCATGGTGTGAGTTTCATGGCCGAATGGAGACTAGAACTCGGATCAAAGACATTACTGCAGCATCTTCCAACCTGATGCCTTCCAGATATGTCAGACTACAACCCCCATCATCCACACCCTACTTGGTTAATTGTTAGATGGCTATGGATTATAGAGGTTGTACTTCAATAGATCTAGAGGGCCCTGATTGGGGAAACTGCAATGTGTAAATTGTATTGTGAATGGATTGGATTAGTTTGTTTTAATCTTAGTATACCTATTAGGAGAGCTTAACATGCCTTTCTGTTCCACCAATCCAAATTTCAAAATTTATGTACTATATAGCTACATATTCATATTTTTTTGGAAAAGATGTGTAAGGGCAAAATGATCCCTGGACAAAATGTTCCCTGACAAAAAGCCAATTTTCTTAATAGATATTTTTTCCAACATATGAATGTACACATTTTCAGGGTTGAAATATAGATTCTTAAAGCTCAATTGAGGACTGTTTGCCTCAGGCAGTAAATGGTTCATCAAATACTTAATTTTAGCTCAAGTTAATTCCTTGGAACCTTTGAGTAATGTACTATTATATTTCCAGAGCTGCCTAGAAGTCTTGTGTAGTCATGGGGGACTGGAGGCTGAGAAGAAAGATAAATGCGATCGAACACTGCATGATGTTGCTACCGATGACTGCAAACATCTTCTAGAAAATCTGAGTGAGTACAATCCTCTCGTGAAGCCATGGCCATTTCCAGAAAACCCACAATTAAATGCAATGCCCGAGTTTAGTTGAAGGCCTGAGACCATGAAATCGCATACTGTCCGTGAGTGATACGTTGCTAATTGGCAGGAATCTAGTGTACATGCACACATGCGTGTGGGGTGCTTTGCAGCACTGCTCTGCATATTTTATTTGCTATCACACCAACTTAGAGGCTGTGCCCAAAGTTCCCCGTGCCCTCTTGCAGAATGGGAACTGCTGGTGCAAAGGGGAGCAAAACATACCATACTCACCTCAGAGCTCATCTAATTCGTGCCTACCATTGCTAAAATAATCCTATGGGAAATGGAGAGGCAACCAAGGACCCTCCACATTTGTTGGGCTACAACTCCTTTAAGCCCTTAGCAGTGGCCATGCTAGCTCCGAGAGACGGGAATCATAGCCAAGGGCACAAGGCTGCTACAGCTAGTTGCATTTTACAGGCCAGAGCTCAGGGCCTCCCACGGAGGTCACACAGCACCCGGAAGCTGAGGGATCTTTTCCATCTAATAATTCCCTAACCTGCACAGGTTGTGTGATTCTACTTGGAGACTAGCTGAGAGTTTAGCCATGCTCTGCTGAGAGCATGAGGTGTGTCCCTGGAACAGGCAGCTTTCTCTTTCCCTGAGGGGATGCCTTTATACTGATAGGGGAAGGCCACCAGCAGAACTCACTGATTAGAGTGGTCTTGCAGCAGTCACTGTCAGCTGTATGGCTTGGCAAGACATCAGCATGAATGTGTATCACTGCTCCTTTGGAGAGTGGATTTGCTGAAACAGCATTTCTGGCACCTGAAATTAGCACTGCAGGGATGTATCCCCAGGGTTAGATCTCATGTGGAACTTTAAATGGAAGTGTTAATGGAGTCAGACTCTTCTACATCATTCAAGGAGCTGGCCTAGGCAGCAGGAGCATACTTCCAAGCTCCTGCGGCGATCCTTGCTCAGCATTTTGGACTATAGAAATGGATTGGCTTTTCTCCCCACAATGAGGGACCTTGCAACAGAAGACTCCCTGTGGCCTTTCTGCACCTTCTTTCTCTATCCATGGCCACTAAAAACTGAGTACAACTTCAAGAAGCAGGAAAAATTAGGTGGGCGAGGGCACAAGGGTCATTCCTGTGAACTCCTTTGTGGTTACTTGTAGGGATTTTTGCTTTTGGTTTGAAGAGGCCGAGGGGTTGTTGTATCATGAGAGCTTAGTACAAAATGACCATTGCTATTATTTTACAACAGCACTGCCTTTTAAGAACATTTCTTGGGTCTATTTCTGTCTTTTTATATGTCATTATAACAGCCACCTTCCTGTCTTTTCCCTACGTGATGTTGAGCAACTGATTGTGTGTAGCAAAGATAAAAGGGAGTTCTGTGTAGGTTAACAGTTTTCAAAATCTATTAAAAAGGGACAAAAAAAGAAATGGGAGGCTTCACTTGACTCAGTGAAACCAGGGCAAAAATTGGTGCAGTTTGGCATGCAAATTTAAATTGATTTATATCCTAGGAGCAGTATTTGGTGCTGCACCTGCATGAAGTGAGTTCTAGAGGGCTCACCATTGGCACAATAAGAATTAGTGTTTACAAAACACACACACACACACCTGGAAATGCTTGTTTCCAGAATGGGACAAGTCAGCAGAGTTGTGTGTTCTGCTGATATGCTTTCTCCCAGAAACTATCATTTCAGCTCAAGAATTGATAGGCTGCCATTGTATTAGTGGTGAATCACACAAGCATACTGGCAGTACTGGATATTTCCCTAAAGGTACTAGTGACTGGAGCTGTTGAATAAGCCATGGGTGCAATCTCTTTCAGTTAAGACTTATGTCAAAGTTCCTCTGTTTGTTAGTTCATTCGTTCCTTCTTTTCTCCCTGACCCTTATATGAAGCGTCTGTTTGGGATGATTTTGAAAGAGGATATCAGAGAGACTGTCCCTACTTTTGAAGTACAATTCCTGTAATACTTCACCATTGGCCACAGTGGCTAGAATTGTATTCCAAAATATCTGGAAGACCTGGGATATTGGATGTTTGGGTGAACAGGCAAGCCAGAGTGGTTATTCTCACAGGTGTTGTTGAAATTTAGTCAAGGTATTGTGTCTCCATGACAATAATGCTAACTCTGGCATTATGAATTCCAGAATAACAGGTTTTGCTCTAATTATGAACATCAGCATGAAGACTGTGTCCAGTTCTGGAAGCCACATTGTAGAAGGACATTAACAAACTGGAATGTGTCCAGATGATGGTGGCCAGGATGAGAGAGGCCTAGAAACCCAATTCATATGAGAAATGGTTAAAGTCTAGGGTATATTTAGCCTGGAGAGCACCAAGGACAAAGACAGTAGCCATTTTCAAAGATTTGAGGAATAACCATGCAGAATGCGGAGCAGACTTGTTCTCTGTTGCTGGAGGAGACAAGACTAAATCCTGTGTTTGGAAGCCGCAGGAAGCAAATTTTGGCTAAACATAAGGAGAAAATATCTAGTGGTAAATGCTGTGTGACAGTAGAACAGATAGATTTGGGAAGCAGTGGGCTCTCCTTTGCTAGAGACATTACAGGAATGGTTGGATGGCCATCTGTCAGGTATGCTTAGTTGCATCTTGCCATTTAAATCTTACCATGAGGAAAGGGTTGAACTAGTCGTTCTCCAAGGTGCCATCTTTTCAATGGGAGAGTCCATGTAATCAGAATAGGAGCTGAAAGGTTTCATTTGTAAAATCAACAAATGGTTCAAGACCCTGTCCATTCATGGAAGCCATCATGGCATAACATGCATTAAATGAAAAGGGAAATCCCCCTGAGCCCTCCATCAAATTTGAAGTAAGATTATCATAGACTGTACCCAATTACAATTCTTCTGAATTAATGTGGAAAAGAGTGAAATGTTCCCCTATGATTACTGAGGAGAATTTCAGTCAGACCTGCTAGAAATTAATACAGGCAAAGACAGAACTGCACAATTGCCACAGACAGTCATCTGTGCATGACTTTTGCATAGAAGTTCTTTTTGCAACTGAATTATTAATTTTGTTACATCTGAAGTGGTTGTCAGATATTTGTGGGGCAAGGGTTTTAAATGGGCTTAATCAATAAAATGAAAAACGAGAATGGTTATTTGACTTTATATGTTATTTTTGGATTTATGTTCTGGTCCATCTGCAAAGCTAGCAGTCATATTCAAAAAAATGCACTTTGCTTTGAAGATGTACCCGTGAATACTGTTCATATATACCCTTATGGAGGTGAAGAAGGGGAAAATGCAAAGAAAGAGACAAGCACTAGATCTTGAATAGAACTAGGGTCTCTTTATTTAACTTTGGTGGACTCTCAACCACCTGGATCTGCAAATCCCGAGATGTGACTCTGACTGCTGTTTTACAGGCAGCTAGACTATTGCATGAGCCACTCTTCTAAGAAAGGATGCAGGCGAGATTCCCAGTCTTCTTTCCTAGGCTCCTCATGATTGTGAGAGGCAGCATCTCTGTGTCACCCCCGCTTGGTACTGCACAACTCCAAGAACGGGAGGCAGTTTGGTCCCGAAGACAAGCCATATCCTTGATCATGGGCTACACAGCCCACGAGTCCCAGGCCTCTGAGCTTGCCTGTCACATAAAGCTGCCTGTGCGTGCCCAGCAACACTATTCCCACAGAAGCATCCCTACCCAAGCCAGCCAAACTACTTAAGCAATCTCCGTGCTAAGCAATTGCGTCCAGTGCCAAATAGACCCAAAAATTTCTGACAGGTAAAACTGTTCTATTTGGCTGTCAAAGGAGGGACTAGCTCATCTCACCCTGGAAACGGGGGGGCGGGGGCAGGCCCCGGCAAGCATGAGACCGAGAGCAAAGGCTGTAGTAGGCCTTTAACCACCCTATCTCTGCCCCCTCACACCACCTGCGTGTGACACATACGATGCAGCGTGACCACTTTCTTTACGCTGCCGCCCACCCTGCAAATTGCCTTGTGTCAGGACAAAGGGGACAGGTTTCTTCTCAGTAGCTGTGTCATGGTGTGCAGATTTTGCTATATTCAAGCTTTCTGGTTCTCTTGAAACAGATGCTCTCAAAGTACCACTACGGATCACAGTTAGCCAGGTAGAGCCAGCCTCCTGTGGTGCAGAGGACCTCGAAATGGAAAACACCATGTGTGTGTTAAACATCCGCAAGCAGACAGCCTGGGATGATTTTTCAAAAGCAGTGAGCCAGGCGGTGACAAACCATTTCCAGGCAATCACTTCTGATGAATGGAGGAGCCTAGAAGACTTGACACTTAATAACACCCCAGAATCCAGCATTGGCCTCACTGTGAGCAGTATATTATCCATCAAACTTGGTAACTATCAGTCTGTTACTTTGTAGAAAAACAAAACTTTCCTGTTTTTCAGGTTGCATGACATTTAGCAAGTACCTTGGTTAAGTGTATTCAGTACGGTTTGTGTCAGCTCTTAGTCGAGGCTGACAGAATCAATTATGCAATGTGCTGGTGGAATATAAAAGCTAAGTTTGTTTGCTCTGCTAAACTATGGCTTTATGTTATATGTGTCAGGTTCTGTGAGTCCACGTAAAGCTATCAGCTTTGGCTATCAGGCAGTAATAAAATTAGAGTTGTTAATAATAATAACATGCTTCCCATGCTACCCTTCTGCACAGCTGGGAGAAGATATAAATGATGGCTCTGCTTGTATGTCATCATAGTTTATGCCAAGCCATGGATTCCTGCTTTAGCTATAAATTCTCTTGTGGACATGAATACACATCCTGATTACTTCCTTTCTTCTGGTTCATTTTTCTCTTCAGAGTAGTTTCGTTTTCATTCTGCCCTTGCTGTGCATCTCACAGCACAACATGCAAAACTGACAAAACCATATTTTGTGAGCCCACCATAAATCGTGACTTCTATTTGTAGTTTGTAGCTGGGTCACAAATGTTTGGTTTGTTTGCAGGGATGGGTGTGGACATTATCACAATCCAGATTTCAACACTCTTTACACCTTATGTTAATATAATGTACAAGTAAAGCTTACAATTAAGTTTTGCCTTTCCCAGTTCCTGGTTTGTTATTACATGTAAATCAGGAATTGTGATTCATCACAAACTGCAGTTAGTTAAACAAACAGTGTTTCTTATTGGCTTCCTTTAGTTATTGACTAGTATTTGTGTTAAACCACAATTCCTGGTTTGTATGCACTGACAAGCCAGGAACAGGGGAAAGGAAACTAAATCATGGTTTGTTTTTCCTGGCTGCATGAGTGTGGAGAGGTAACTCAAGAGCAGTTTTGCTTGGACTTTCAGAGGCTTGTCCATATAACATCAAATCCTTGGTCTGTTATATGCAAACCAAAGTAGTGAAGTTCCTTTGCTTGTGTAGTAATTACTCAAAAGGCCAACATCAGACCCTGATGAGATGCTTTCAGGGAATAAACCAGTGAATGTGTGTTTTTGTCTTGTAGGCTACCTTGAGAAGGTTTTATCTTTAAAGGCAAATATTATACATACATGATATTAGGTGAGAGGCACCAAACCTCAAAGTATCAAAGTATTAGGTGAGAGGCACCAAACCTCAAACCTCATCAGAGAGACTCCGATATGCTTTCATATCTGGTTCCACAGTGGCTACATAGATATGAATTAAGCTTCTCATATAAATAGCTTAGGTCCCAAATTTCTGAACGTTTAGCTCTTTCTAGCTCACCTTGCTTGTGCCTTTCAGAGAAAGGTCTTTTCTCCAAGTATTCACAGGACATTTTGTGATCACATGTGATGCCCTGATGTAGAACCCTCTCCCTGTGGAGATGCAACTGGGGATGACATTAAATTCTTTCTTATAATTGGTCCAATCCATTTGCTTTTTCAGGCATTTTAAATTGCTTTAAAATTTGAAATAGGAGCTGCCTATTTCATGTGTCTTTTGTAGAGTTTTTTGTTGATACATTTACAAACAATGCATTTTGTAAACCATCCTGGTGCCATAATATGAAGGACAGTTATATAGTATATAAAAGAGATAGACAATATATAATATGATTTGACACAGCTGCCTACCGTTGAGATCTGACAAACTACTGAAGAACTGTGAGCCTGCCAGTCAAAGTGACAGCAAGTCTGGAGCCGTGTCTGATATTTAGTACCAATTACAGCCCAGTTTATGTGTTACCTTTGCTATGAGATTGTCAACAACACTGACATGGAAAGTTTCCCCATGACGTAGACACATTGCTTTAACGCACTGATGTGGGTGCTCACCAAAATGATGCCATGAGATAATGTGAACATTTGGTTTATGTGCAATTTTATCTAGCTAGTCACAATGACATTTGAGTAAAAGCTTCAGTTTCCAGCATGGTCCACTATGCTTTAGAAGTATATAAGCATGATCAAATAAGAAGTAACAGGTATGGTAAATTGTAGTCCAAGAAACCATTTGAGAAGGGATAAGCTTCCAGGATTGCACCAAATCCAGTTTCCATCTTTTGCAGATTTTATTTTAGTGTTGAAATATGATGTGAGAATCTTCTTTGACCAATGATGAGTTAAAACTTTAAGCTCAAAAATGAAGCCTCCTGTAGTCTCACCAATTAAATTTAAATGCATGTTATGTGAAATATGTACTCTCTCATAATTAAAAGTATTTTCAGATATGTATGTCCTGCCCTCTCTCTAAGTATGCCTCTGATAAGCTTTCTCTCTTTTACCAGGTAATGTTTCATGGTCAATAGGTCAAACATTTCCCCAGGCACCTTGGGAATTTTTGAAAAAGAACCAGGTGGAACATATACTCATATTTTTGCTTGGTAAATGCATTTATTCCTGCTTTAGCATCATGTATTACATAAATGATCATTGTTTCAGATGATGTATGGATTGCTACTAGTAGTCATCTTGAATAATTAAATTCATATTAAGCTTTGAAATCCAGTTAATGAAACTCTTTCCCTTAAATATGCTCAAAAAAAGAAAGAAATATGATCCGTAAGAGGAAAAGTTTTTAGAACACCCTCTAGAACAACCTCTTTTCAGATGTGTATTATACTTTTATTAAATAGAGAAGGTATCATCTAGCGCAAATCCCAAAGTCTTCTGCATGTTTGTGATCCTTACATGAGTAATTTACATATAATTTATTCTGAGCATAGAATTTTAATTTCATGTAATAGTGATTTTTTTTCCAGCTAAGGAATCCTCAGTTTGGATTTCATCCTATTCATGAATTCACTGGGTGGCCTTATGCAAGCCAGTTTCCTACCTTAAGCATTCCTCACTTTGAAATATGATCTAATAGTACCAGCTTACTTTGTGGATACCACTGAAATCTTGTATACAGAGGAAATGATTGAACACTCTAGGGCATCATTCCCACAATATGGCACCCTCCAGATGAATTGGACTGCAGCTGTCATCATCTTCAGCCAATGGGGTCATGAGATTATAATAAAGGTAGCTAAGCACATCTGAAGGATGACACACTGGGGGAAGACTGCTCATGAATGCTAAATAAATAGTAGGCGTTGTTATTGTAGTTGTTTTGCAGAATTTTGTTTTGTGTTGTCCCATACAACCAGCATATTGTGCAGAGACTTCCATGGGATTTTTTTTTACTAAGCCACATGGCCATGGGGGGATTTTCAGGAGGTTGTGACTGGGAAAGAAAGGTCCAGTCTCCCCTCCCTGTGATCCTGATGACAGTGGCAGTCAGCTCATGTAAAGCAATGGATGTGCAGAATGTGTTCATCATATCCCTTCTCTTAAAGGTCCTGCGGAAGGCTCTCTGCACAGTGTGAGTTATGCATCTATGATCCATCTTCAGACGTTGCAGAATTATCTCAGGCTGGTAAGAACCAGTTTACCTCTTGCTTATCAGTATTCCTCAGTTTCTACCACTCCGTAAACCTCTCATCTTTCCTAACAGCTTTGGGAAACAAACCACTGAGCTCTGCTTCTTTCAGTCCTCACTAACAGCAATGAAGGAAGAGTACAGTAGGCCTTACAATAAAGGTACTTTCTCCTTTATGCTCTGGGTCAAGACGTGTATCACAGATTGACTCAAGAGAGCCAACCTCTTCTCAGACCTTGCCAAATGGTGATAACATAATGCACAGTGATGTGGCAGAAAGGTTGTGTGCTGACCCACACATTACAGATACTGTAATGGGGGCACAACAATGAATATTCCAGGCTTAACTGCTCAACCCAAACAGTTAAAAGACTCAAGATCAAGACAAAGGGTAGAGACCTTGATTTTCTCCCTGGTTCTATCTGGCTGCCTAGAGGAATGAATCTGAAAAGCAGCCACCCAGCAAAAGCAGAAGCAGTGTCAGCCGCACTGCAGTACAGAACACCTTATCCTGGGTCCTTGGCTCTGAAGAATACAACTCTGAACTCTTACCCTACTGCTGGCTGCCAGGGCGTCTTAAGCATCTAAAAAGAACCCTGCTGAAGTTGGAAATTTACAAGAATTCCATTTGCAGAGGTGAAAACTTGATGGATTTTTCTAGATCAGGTCTACAGATTTCATTCCATGCCTTCTTGCCCCCATGTTGTTGACTCAAAGTCTGCAGTGAGCTGAGCCAGTACGCATGGTCAATTTTTTTAAATGGTGGCAACATGTACAATTTGTGTAAGGAAGATCTTGGAATTTGTACTAAAGTTGTATTTAAAAAAATGTGCACAAATGAAAGTCTGTCTGTCCAGTATGTTGTTCCACCGAAACATATTCACCACTTGTAAATATCCTTGTCAGTTTTATCCTCTCCACGCACTATTTCATTAACCCAACACAGCCATATTCTCTACTTGTTGAAGGAGTTGTCAATTTCCCCACACATGAAATTGACCCCATTTTGCGCAAAGGGTTCTTAATCTTGGGATTCTCCCCCAGAAGCTCTCCCTGTCATTTGAGAACATACTTTTGACAGTGGGAACTTTGTGGCATGATACATGTTCTGATGGTTACAGGGAGAAACAACAACAATCCTACCAAGCATATCCCAGCCCATGGGTGCATCTAAAATAGCTCTTTGGATCTTGTATTTAACTGATTCTGATCCCTCTTAAACACAGGGACAATATTTAAATTATGTACTTATAAACATAAGGGCATTTCTTGCTCCCAACATTTGAGTGGAAAACAAGATTAGGCTCACCTGTTCTAGAACCAGATTACAAATCAATTAATCAAATTTAATATTTTAACCTCTTTGTTGTCAGCAGTTTCCTTTATCTCCAGGTGGGTACTGGTGGTGATGGTGGCCACTCACATCTACAGAAAAGGTGCCAGTAGAAAATTAGGCCTGTGGAAAATGCATATCAATATTACTGTGTTTATTTGCAGGTGGAACAGTACCATAACATTATTTTCCATGGTCCAGAAGGAAGTTTGCAAGATTATGTGGCATATCAGATAGCCCTTTGTATGAAGGTAGGAAGATAAAACCATACAACTTTTGGAAAAAAAGAGAGGGCATATTTATACCTTTTCTAAACTTAAAAACTTTTAACACAGCACAAGCAACTGGCTGCAGGATTCAGCTGTGAAATAGTCAAAGTGCAGATAGATGCTGATTTCTCCAAGGAGCAGCTTGCAGAATTATTCATCAATAGTGGTAAGATGATTTTAATAAATAAGCAGATTTATTATCAACGAGTCATACTTAATCATGCTTACACAAGAAACACTCTAAAAGCATTTTGTTTTTCATAGAACTTTTTAAAAACTCCAGAGACTGGATAGGTATTTTACTAGAGCTAGAACTGAAGATGATTTTTAATATTAAAGCTTTGGGTACTTTTCCATCTCTCTTGACAGATGCAAGAATAGATCTGGAATCAAAATTTCAGTTTTCTTAAAGCACAACACTATTAGAAAAGACTAAATCACTTTAGGTAACAATTTTATATCCACTTAACTGGGAATAACACTGCTTTTCATGGAATTAACTTCTAGGTTTCTCTCTCTCTCTTTCTCTGCCAGGCATTCATCATAATTGCAATAATAAATATTTCATTCTCCTGTGAAAGAGTCACCTAATCTATCTCTTTTCCTGATTAGCTGTGGTTACGGAAATTGTCCATCATTAAATTTTTACCAGTCCTCAGTGCTTTGTAATTCAAACATTTTTCCACCATAAGCCCAGGGCAGGAACCCCTTTCAGCCCAAGTCTGAATTTAATTTTGAAGAAGTTCTTAGGGGGCCACAGAGGTGGGTGAGGCCAAAAGCAGAAGGAACAGGCCCAAAAACAAAAACAAAAAGTATTCCTGCAGATGGTTGTTTAGGGCTGTTATTGCCAGTAAAAAAACCTTAGATGTGGGATTCCTTTTAGAATGGGGGAAAGCACCACATATGCCAGGAAACCCGGTGATTGAAGAAAAGGGGCATGGTCTGATTGGGACCTCAGGATGACCAGATTTGGTCTCCCAGCCTGAGGTTCCACACCTGTGCTAAAAAGCATTTTTAAAAAAGTACTCCTTTCTGCTCTAGATTAGCCTTCCTCAACCTGGTGGCCTCAGGGTGTTTTGCACTATAAATCGTATAATCCCCAGCCTGTGTGGCTATGGGTCATGTTAGCTGGAGTAGATGGGAATTCTAGTAAAGCACATCTGGGAGATACCAGGTTGGGGAAGGCTGTTTTAGATACAGTATCATATGAAAAGCATTTTGTAAATGGAGAGGGGATTTCTTTTGCTAACCACAATGGGTTCTTTGTATTTACAGCTTGCCTGATCCCTGTGAAACAGCCTTCTGTAAGTAACAGAATCATTGTGATTTTGGAGAATTTGGAAAAAGCTGCATTATCAGAATTACTGGGGGAGTTCCTTCATCCTCTTGAAAATCGTGGCTCTGAGAATCCCTGGATGGTAAAAAAAGGTACAAAATGTTTTCATTCCATTAGAATATATTTTGAGAGGTAGCTACAAAACAGAAATACTTTAAAAGAAAAAAAGCATTTTGTCTATTTTTCTTTTAAGAGCCATCAGTGAGATGTAAACCATTTTAGTGACATTTTATTTCAGTTGTGATTCTTTATATTAGAAAATATCTAGGAGATGGAGGAGCATCTTGATTATTGATTATTTTTTTCTGCTTTGATATTTAGCCAATGGTGTATCTGATGCTTATTACTTCCATGAGAACTGCTTCCTTATTGGGACCATTGCTAAGTCTCGGCTTCAAGGTTCTGACTTGATGGTTCAACAACATTTCCTCTGGGTTCAGCTGAGATGGGATGGAGAACCAATCCATGGCCTCCTGCAAAGGTTCTTGCGAAGAAAGCTCTTAAGTAAGGTAGGAACCACACAGACTTGAGTCTTGTCATTGTTTATCAGAGAGGATCTTCAACATTGTTAAATGCAACAACAACCACAACAAGAAGGGGAGTATGGCAGATCCATTTTGAAGAACAGAGAGAGACTGTATGATTGCAGAATAGTTTTATAACAATGCTGTGATTTGGAGGGGGGAAAACTTACACAGATAGGATTTAAGTGTCTTTTCTAGGAACCATTAGGAAGCCAGTAATTTTTCATACACCATATACCCTGTAGGAATTTTCAACAGTCTTGGATTATAGGAGGTCACAGATGTCACCTGGCTGTGTTAACGAGCCATTTTCTGTCTCCTGTAATTGTTTCTTTGATAGACTCCAGTAAGTTCTTCATTGTCTTTAAAAAACAAGTCCATATTGGCTTCCATTTCTTATCTCTGTACCACAGGGTGAGATTTTTTTGCCTCCAGGCGATTATTCAAAAGCCTGCTGCAGTGCAGAAGGTTTTCTGCTGACCATAGGCCTCTCCGGAGAATAGAGAGCTCCAAAGCCTGGTGCCTAGTTAACAAGAGATGGTTCATCATCCTTTCCCCTTTGATGTATAGCCATAAATCATTGCTGCTTAGTGGAGCTCATGTGGCTGCCAACACCCAGTGTTAAAAGATGCTCTTGAGCCTGCGATGACAGGGAGATGCTCTTGAGCCTGCATGCGGGGTGGGGGGGATATAGCAGATGTGACTTGCTCCACAAATGGCACCAGAGAGACATCTCCCTGCTAAACACGTAATTAAGAAGGGAGCTACAAGCCTACCCTGATTAAGAGGTTGTGACCCCATTGCAAATGAAAGCTAATATGTTTTGTGCACATGTTTTGTGCTCTGATATGTAGAAAAGTTGGGCCTAATATGAACAATTCATGTGCACTTTGCATCTTGGAATATTCAAGGTGTTTCACAGTAAGCATTACAATGATCCTGTAGGATAGGATGAATTGGAGAAATTACCCAAGGCCAACTGGTTGGGATTTGAAATATTATTGTGATTATCAGTATATTTGTATGCCACCCTATAGCCCACAGGGCTCTCTGGGTGGCTCTCAATAAAACAGTGTAATACAAATTCAATTGCAAAATACAATACTAGAATCAAAACAAACCACAATACTAATTACAAAAAACAATGCTGAAATCAGATCAGAAATGCATTATACAATAGTATGATACATAATATGAAGCAGCAGTAAAATACAACTATAATCCCCCCACCCCCCAAAAACAAGCTTCTCAATGCCCAAACTGTGCTAACAGGCTGAAAAGGCATGGCCCCACTTCAGCTTCGCCTCTTCTCTGCGGCTGCAGCAGGGGTGGCAACTGGTCCCCTTCCTTTCTCTCCCCAGTGGCAGCATTCTCACTACCAATGTTGGGTGGGGGGAGGAGGGCTGCAGTGATGGATAGAAAGGGTGGCAAAAACAGCACCACTCTGCAGAAGACCCAGATGTAGATCCAGCTGGTCCCCAAAGAGGTGGTAAATGGGCAGTGTCCTTAGCAGTGTTCACAAGAAAAGGGTCCAGTCTCTGAGGCTCTGCCCAGGAGGAGGCCCTACTGCAGTGCAGCTCCCTGCTTCTGGCCAGCTCCTCTCCATCTCTCTCCCTCCCTCCCTCCCTCCCTCCCTTCTCAGCAGCATCAACACTTCTCTCACCAGTGGCAGCACTAGCCGAGGTTGAGGTGGACAATGTGCTGGGAAGGGCATGGCAAGCCCCCGCACTTGTCTGTGGTGGGTGAAACACAGTGGCAGAAGCAGGCAGGCAAGAAATGTCCTCCTCAGCTCAGTTCTGCATGAAGCTATGTTCTGGGTTCACACAACAAATCAAACTACGATGTTTTATTAGTCATGATGGTTTCACTTGTTGACTGAACCCAGCACTATTTCTTCAGGGTAGTATATAAGCCGCCTCACCATGGCTTGTAGTAGGGTTTCATAAAGCATCGTTCAAACCCAGGCAACAGAATATGCTGTGGTCAAATCAAAAGGCCCAAGGAGCCTCTGGCAAGAGCAGCGTCCACACAGCCATCTGATAGAAATAAAATCCAACTGTTACATATTACAGTGTATATGTACAGGAATAACTAGTGAGGCCAGTCTGCATGCTCATCTTTATGGAAATGTTAGGCTCTTGTGGGCTGTGCATGCACTGGGTCAGTGGACATGGTGCACATCATGCACCTAGCACTACCTGCAGGTGGAAAACATCATGCTTGGTGCCTGGGGATTGCATACATAGAGGGAAACTACTTCAGTGCACGGAAGGGGCCCACTAGTATTCCCAAAAGTTTGCAGACCTGCTCTCGGCTTGGCTCACTTCCTAGGCCAGGGCTGAGTGCAGGAAAGAAATCCAGTGAGCACAAGACCACCAGCACTAATGATTCACAACACTGTGATTCTTCTCAGCTTGGGCTTTAATGCAAGCCAGGGAACAGCCTAATTTGTTCTCCTTCCACCTAAGCTCCCATTCTGACTGACCCAAGAATCCCCCAGCCCTCCTTGTGTCTTCCTTCTTACCACCATGACTGACTGTGACTGAAATAAAGGAGGAGTTTGCAGCAGCCCAAAAGCAGGAGGTGGAGAGGAGAGAAACCGCCTTCCTGCTTGGCACTGCTGAAGCAAAAGCAGCCACAGCCAAGTACATAAATGAGAAGTGCTTAGTACTTTCCTGTAAAAGGCTCTGTTAAAATCCAAGTTTTATCTCATGATTTTCTGAGAAATCTTGCCTTGTGAAAAATCTTGCCAAGATAAGCTTGTGAGGGGTTGTTGTTGTGACCGGAGAATCATTCCGGTATCATTGTGTTCAGGGTGGAATTGGAGTGCCTAAACCAAGGGTTAGGACACTTTTTGGGCCTGTGGGCACAATCAGAAAATGGCTGCCATGGGTGAGCCTAGGTAGTCACAAGGGACAAGTAACCTGCCCAGGAGCAACACCTGTGGGAAATTAATATATCAGCAGTGAGAGGCTCCTACTTTGGTTTGACGCTGTCCCAGGTGACAGACAGCATTAACATATTTTAAAAATTAGAATTGGGTGTCTCATGGGCACTAAAGAAGATGCCCGGGGGATGCATTGGTGTCCCCTGGCATCATACTTCCTTCCCTGGCCTAGGATATGTCAGGTGAAATCTTCAAAGCCACATGTTTGCTCTGTAGGATTTTCTGGGCCAGGATATCACTTGCCTTGCACAGCTTACATAGCCTTCCCATGAGGCTAAGAATAAATTGTGTAGATAAAAGTGCAGGATGCAAAATTTGGCTTCCCTTGGCACAGACCCTTCTGTGTTTTAAGCAGTCATATGCACAGCCCTGATTATGATATTCCTTTTAAAAAGATACTTTCAGCGAAATGTCCACAATACAGCCATTAAAACAGCATGGAAAAATAAGACTCTTTCTGGTACACTTGGCCTCTCAAATCTGAGTGTATGCTACAAAGCCCTGCTTAAAATGAGATTAGGAAGAACATGAGTTCTTTCTTATGAAAGGATTTCCTTTTTAGCTTTTGCCTCAAAGCGGGGCATTATCCTTTGCCTGAACACTTGTGTTTGTTTCTTCAGTCATATTCCAGGCCTCATCTCTATCGTTGTTAGATGCCTGAATGCTTTCTGCTTTCTATACATGTTTTTACTGAAACTGAGCAAAAGCGGGCAAGTGTGTAAACATGCTAAAAGAGCTGCAGCAAATTAGCAAGCCAGCACAATGAAAATTGAATGAATAATTTGAAGTCATTAATGGTGGTTGCCTGACATGCTGTGGGGATCTTAGTACTTGGAACTTTCTTGATACTATGGTTACAGAGCAAAAGAGCTTATTTTTATGGGAAACTTACAATTATGTTAACAACTGATTTCAGGTGCAAGCTAATTTAATCACAGGCTAGACTTTCCTCTTAAATAGGTTATGACATTTCCTCTTACAGTAAATTTGGCTAGTCCATTAGCTTCTTGACTGCTACCAGGATGAGAAAATTAGACTCTCCGTTGACAAAATGTGTTGAGAAGCATTTGTGATCTGGACTTGGTAATGCTCACTCTTGGCTTTTCCTACTCTTGATACTAATTTGTTTTCACTATCATAAGAAAATGAACAAGGCCAACTCCAGGGCTAAAGGGCTTCTGGTGGGACTTTCCTCCATTAATTGATCCTATTGAGCTTACCTTATATTGGAAGGTATAGCTGCTCCTGGGGCCTGGAACTTCTTAACATTTTAATTTCCCACAGTGCTGTGAAGCAATGCTACTCTGATGACATTATGGGAAATTTAAATGGTCGCTAGAATTAAAGGCAACCTGGCAGCTGCCCAGAAATGCCTGGTACTGAGGTTGACCCTGCTAGCAAGATCCACTTCCCACATCCTCAACTTTAGGAGAAGGCCCTAGATGTCAGATGGTCCTGGAACTTTCTGCTTCTGATGTTTTCAGGTTCAGAATTTACCTCTTGTCTAATTAAATTGACTAATTAAATTTGCTTACAACTGAAAATTGGATTTTTTTGGAATTCAAGGCAGTGTCTTACATTCCCCACTGCATATCAGATATAGTTCTGATTCAGCCATATGGGCTAAATCCACTATAGGTTATTCCTCCTATTTGTCCCAGAGCTTTCTCCTTTTTTCTTGCTTTGAACTCATATCTTCAGAGATTTCTTCGACCTTCATTTATGGTTTGCCAGTTCCAAGCTCAGCTGGAATCTAGGCAAATCACTTTATAATTCAGCACATTATCTCTATGTGCAAGTGCACCTTCACAGAATGAGCATTGCCAGTAGCAATGTGAAAATCTGAATGTGTGCCCAGATTGCATGAGATGTTAATTGAAAAGAATACTGCAGTCTCAAATGCCTCTTGTGTAAAGTTAGATGAGCAACAATCTTGTTTCCCAAGCTTGTCTTGGCAAGATAAACAGTAGCAGCTGCATCATGCAGGTTATCCTTTGTCTAAATAAAATTGTGGCTTGTAACGATATACCTTGTTACTTCTTGAGATGCAGTAAACAGACTACATAGCTAATTTCTCTAATACTTATACTGATAATAAAGGCAAAGGTGTATAATGTTTGACGCTTGTTATGCTATTATTTATTTCTGAGTAAAGTCCAGTGGGGCACTGGAATGAATACAAGCATAACTCTTGTACAGTCAACAAATGTTCCTCATGTTATTACTACTGGCTGTTCAAAACAACATTGTTTCAGATATAATAGGTTCAGTCTACATTAGCATCATGGTGCAACTACTGTGTGTTTTGAGTTTGCATCATCTTAAATATGCTTGGAGTTGCCCTTCCAGAACTCTTCAGACCACTAATTATGTATTTCTGGACTCAGGAATAGTTCTCACATGCATGTGCATAATTTGATTTCTCAGCACTCGATCACTCAAACTCAGTTACTTGCAGCCACATGTAAACAGACTGCATTGAAAAGAATTGTGTTTCAGAATAATGAGAAATAAAGTGAAAGGTTTGTCTGCACTATTTGAACTGTGGTGGGCCATTGACACATGCAGTCATTATTTAATGGTAACTAAGAAGGAACGAACAGGCAGAGGTGGACTGGATCATACCTCCAGAGAGCTTTGGCTTGGGAGCAATATACAAATGAAGAGAATGAATACATAAAAACAAATACATTATGCTACTTCTTTTCTATCAAAAGCTACTTATTACATGTCATGTGTCAAGCGGTAATACATTATTTTCTTCAAAACATTATAAATGATGCTAAACCAATAATGTATTCTGTTCTCTTCAGTTCAAAGGAAAAATGCCTCCTCCATGTGATCCCATGTGTAAGATTGTACAGTGGATTCTTGCAGTCTGGCACCAGCTGAACTCATGTTTATCACGCCTTGGTGCCCCTGAAGCACTTGTTGGACCGAAGCATTTCCTTTCCTGTCCAGTGGTGCCTGGTCACAGCCACACAACAGTGAAGTATGTCTTGCAGTTATTCTGTGTCAATGCTACAGTGCTGTGTCTTCCTTTGATATTCTTCCACCTCTCTCCCCTACATCTCAATTTAAAGTAATCAATTTAAAGACAGTTCATTTCCATGGATAGGAACTAATGAAACCTTTACCCTTTCCCTTATTTTTGAACAAGTAGAAATGCTCAGAAATAGTCAGACTCAAGGAGACTTACTCCCAGTAAAGTATATTTATGATTGCAACCTTATAACGTTTCTGAGCTCAGATTTCAATTGGACATACACCAAGTACGTTTTGTTGATGAGGCAGCTCATTCTGAGGCAGCATAATGCTAAATGCAATTTCTGTGAGGGAGGATTGAAAAAACAAATGAGATTGTACATGCTAAGCATAATACTATTTCTGCCTTAAACATAATTTGAAGAAAATACCTGTGCCTCAAATGAGTATCATTGTATATGCATATGCACAGTTTACATTCCTTTCCTTATAGAATAATTGCTGTAAATTTTCCATGCTTTAAACCTCAGTCTAGAAACCTCAGCCTGCTTCCTGCATTCCAATGTCATTTTCAGATAGTTACCAGTCACAGCATCTGTTTGGAAAATCAAATCAACTCCATAACGTGTCTTGATGCAAAATCCAAGATGTTGCAGTATTTTCTCCGTACAGTAGGGCTGCCCACCAATGTAACAATTCCTGATAGGTATAGGACTCCTGGTTCATATAGCAGTAGCAGTTTTAATGACTTTGCTATTTATTGGGGGTGGGGGGCAGGGAGTGATCTGTGCTCTAATACTCAGTACTAAGATTTAAGCAGTTTAAATGTAAGATTTATGTAAGAAATGCTTGTTGTTTTCTGGGATTATTGATGTGATCTGTGATGTCTTCTGCTACCTTTAATTTTTATCAGAGGACATTTTGTGTGTTGGGTATAGTTGGTTATACAGTTATTCTGGTTTTGACTGAATGCCACACTGGGAACCTTTTTAGATGATAAGAGAGCAATTCTATCAGGATGCCTGAAAGTCCCCAGAGTCAGAGGCAGCAACAGAGCAAACCTTCACTCCCTTGACTGCCACTGTGCACTTTCACAAGATGGGCTTCTCTGCCCATCACTCAGCAACATCACGGTGGCAGGAGCAGCTTCACGATCCCTTGTATCCTGAACCTTCTCAGTCTCCTCCCCAAACCCAATTTGCTCCTGGCTGAGATTGCTCTTCCAGACTGAGAGAGTTCTTTCCTCACTGGGTATAATGAGAAATTGGAGGGTGTTAAAGTGACAATTGCCAGCTCCAAGGTTGAATGCCATCTGCAGTCTTGGAGCCCCAGTGCATTCAGAACAGGTGTTCCACTACTGAGCTAGAGTTCTTCTTTATAGAGCAAGGACATTGTTTCCTGTCGAGGTTTAGTAAGAGGTAATTGCTGTACAGATGCTGCTTCTACCTTTTTAAGAATAATAAAATATCTGTTTTGCAGTTACGCCGCTTACCCACCCCCACACCCTTGGTTGATGTATTCTTATGTACCCCATGGGAGTGCACGTTTCAGCACTGTATACAAAATTCAGTGTACTGCAAACCTCTTCTTATTAAAAAGCAAAATAAAGTTTCCTTAGCCACTATAACTCCAAGATAAAGCTTGCTAATAAATAGACAATGGCGAACAACAGACCAGAAATCAAATGCAGTGTTGAACCAGGCCTTTTTGTGGCTAAGAGTAGGGCTTTAGTGGCCCCCATACCTATTTGCCACTAACCACGGCTACCACTGCTGCTGCTTCATTCCAACAGTCAGTGTGCTGGACCTGAATGTTGGGATTTCAGCTCAGCCATGGTCTTCATGGATAGCTCTCTGCAAACTTTGATCCTCAGATGTAAGTCTGTAAAACAGGAACAGTGATAGTTCTGCTTTTCAGAGATTGCTGTGGTGATGAGAAATTGTGCTGCATTTAGGTCTCAAAGTGCCGCTGATGCTGTTGCTGCTACTATTAATAATAATTTAACTAAAGCAAGATTTTAAAGTGTCCTGATAGCACTGCAAGACATGAGTAGCCATGTTTAAATATTTATTTGCTTGATAAATAAAACAAGAGTGAGTGAAATAAAAATAAATATGCAGTAAAATTGCGAAGCAGGTGTCTGCCTCAAAAACGTCAGCAACATTGGACGAAATGAACATGTATCATTTTCCAAAATGAGAAGTGCTTAGCTTGCCTCCCTCTTTTTGGGGGGGGGGGTTTGGGGAAATCATGATTTATTTATGAGCAAAATACTTAATATAGCTGGAGCTCATGGATCATTGAATTAACAGCTAGCTTCTTTTTGTACTCTTCCCCCCAATTTTCCTTGTCCCATTTCGATTTTCCTGATTGTAATACTTCAGTGCTCTTGTTTTTGGCTTCAGTTCAGACTTCTGTTGGAACCACATTTCAGTAATCTTGGAGACATAGTCAAAAGAGCTTTCTTATAGCATCATTAAAGATGACAGACTGCCTCTGTTTGCTTGTTTTGAACTGCAGCAAAGTACCATTTTAAGGAGATGTACAGGATGGGCAGCTCCTGCACATATAAACAGCTGTATAAAGGTGGAAATTTCAATAGGTGTAGCTTTGTATGGAGCTACACAGCTTTGTATGGAGAGCTGTTGGAATTCCTTCTTTTGTGGGGAAGGCTAAGGCTTTGGAGAAGGCCCCTGGTTCAGTCTTGATGGGAAAGAGTTCTGCCTGTGATCCTGGAGCACAGCTGTCACTCTGAGTAAGCAAAGTTGGCTAGATACACAGGTGATCTAAGTCTATTTGAAGCAGTTTCCTTGTGAATAAAAGCACAAGGTCCCAGTCTTGCTTCATGTTTTGTCACCCTATACTCACAGGTTTTGTAGGAGTTCAGATATATTTATTCAGTGCATGTAAGTCCTGAGAGCCACATAAAAACTGACATCAAGCCATCTAGTCCTCACTGAGCATTCACAGAGCCAGTTTGAGCAACAAAGACCATACAAAGGAAATCCATACAAAAGCAGCACTGCTAACTTTTCTTTCAGATATTGTTATTTGCACTTGTGATTTAGTGCCAAAGCAAAGAAAACTCCCAGAGAGATAAATCCTTTAAATTTATCTATACAGTTGTCACCATTTTTTGTTCCTTGGCAGGGCTTTTGCACCCAACTAATAATATGTTTGGTAGGCAAGGCTTTGTTCTTCATGCATCTCCAGGCAGAAAATTTGTCTGCAGCAATTAAAGGCACAGAAATCCTATTAGGTCATGGTGGGAGCTGCCTTTTCCAGCTGCAATGAACATGTGCTTTTGCTGGGTAGATGGGCAAGGAAGAGTTATTAGTCTTCATTTAAGTTTCTTTTGGTGCTGTCATTGCAAAGAGTTCAGGAAGAGATAGCTGACCTTACCTTCTTTTATGGCTTGGAAGGCTGCAATTCCTGCAGCTTTTATTGATTTAGACAAGTGTCATTCACCTTCTAGAAAAGATGGTGAACTTACAGTAATGTAGGAAGCAAGTTTCAAATAGGTTTTTTTTGGGGGGCGGGGGGGAGGAATTTGTTTCTCCTTCCCTGCCCTTGCTTTCTACCTCAGAAATGCCAGCTGGTTCAAGGGCAAGCTTCTGTGGAGTAGTTGGGAAAGGGGTAGAAATCTCCTATATGCAGTTAGCACTTCCTCACTCTCTTAATATTTTAATTACTATAGTAACATGTGCTGTCTCCTTGAAAGTCAGTTCTGCTCCTGTAGATGTTTCTCCTGATAACCTCACATGTAAAGTTGTAATTATTCAGTGTTGAGCAAAAGAAACACAGCAAATGTCAGAGAATCCTTCAGACTTTACCCAAAGTTGATCTCTCACTCATTCTGTGATGAAAGGTGTAAGAATAAAGAATAAATTCAATCTGAATCACACTTCTTCCAACAATTCCAAACATCGTGTTTTGAAGATAGCTGTTCTTTGTATAAGGTAACTTGTCACCCGCATTCAAGAGCTGATTCACATACCAAAAGCTCAACTAGTGCAATAATGCAAAACTGCAATAGTCTCAACTCTGGAACAAGGAGTGCTTCTTATTTAAAATACTTTTCAGTATATTTCCTCTTTTGGCACTACCACTGCCAATCTAGAAACATTTTCCGCTAAAAGCATGTTCAATAAAGACAATTGAACTACTTTGGATGGCACCACTGCTGTCTTTTCAGTAGGTCAAAGGAGAGATCTTCCTTAGCATGTTTTGCAAATACTTCCAACAGCTTGGAAATTTCTTCCAGTTTGTCAAGTGTATCTGGTAGCCCTAATTATGTCTATCTGCTATTACCTTTTGATATGTGCTCCAAGGTGGATGTCCAAATTATGGAATGCAGTCATTGCTCCCCGAGTTCAAGAAGCAATTCTCTCCAGGGCTTCTCTGAAAAGACCTTCTACACTGGGACAGATGGTAGTCAAGAAAAGTCCAAGTCAAGGGCAACAAGCTGTGGTAAAAGCCGCTCTCAGCATTCTACTAAATAAAGCTGTTCTGCATGGATGTCCTCTTCCCAGAGCAGGTGAGGCACAGTAAATGGGTTGATAGCTAAAAACAAAGGCCTGGAAGTAAGTGGAAGGCTTTAACCTCACAGCCCATACTGAAAGCTTCACAAATTAGTCCCTTCAGCCATGATTTCAAGTAACAGGTTTTTAGAGCAATTAAAATAGCTCGAGCAGGTCACAAATCCCTTTAGAGCAGAACCAAATACAGTAAAAGATTTGCTTGCTTCTCTAATCTGGGATGAATGCATTCCGGCTACAGGAATATGGATGTCGCTAAAGAGTTCATCCAGTGGCACTAGAATCATGGTAAAAGTCTTACAAACATCACTGTGGACAATTACATGGGGTTTTCTCCACAAAATTTGCATTCTCACTATTTTTATCTGAAGGAACAGCTTGCCATACTCATGGATCCATCAAAATTCTTTAATTTCTGCTTCTGTTTTGGTGAAGTGTTTTCTGCATTTTGCTCTCTGCTTGTCACCTTCAGAAGGCAGGTTAGCCACTGGTCTGAATCTATGTTTGTTCTTCAATTTTAGATCTCTCTCCATATTTCTCTTCATCCTGTTTGTGTTGATCTCAGTGTTATTTTGGCCTGTTTGTGTGCTTCTTTGTGAAGCATTAGTTCACTTTAACAGTATGACTACCCAATTTTGTTCTACTGTGAATCCAGGCAGCCCACCATTCACAATCCTTTGTATGACCTTTTTGTTAATGCCTGAGACAATGGTAAAACCAATGGCTTTGAAAGAAACTATGAGTATATGTATTCGGGTAATTCTCTTCTAGACAAAGATAGGTATCTGGGCATAGCTTTATGGCACTTTAAGGTGGATTTATCAGGACAGCTGATTTTCTTTTAAATGTTTCAGAACTGGATCGATACATTGCTGATTTTAAAGGAGGAAACTTCCCACTCTCCATGGTATCAAACTATAAAAATTGTCCTAAGAAAAGAGGGGAAAGTACTGCTTGGAGAAAAGTAAGCACAAGTCCTCGTAAGAAGGCTGGCCACTCATCAGCCCAGTCCTGGAGCAAAAAAGAAGAAAATGCAGAAGGTAATAGTGGAAGGTGCTAGGGATGACTTGTGTGAGGTGCAGTGAGGGACAGAAAGCTCTGTTTAATTCATATATCCAGTGCTTTGCCTATTTAAAAGTTCAGCCAAGGCCATTTCATTTCTAAGCTTCTACCAACTCTGTGCAAAAGCCAGTTTAGTTCCTAGGAGCATCCAGAACCTTGTTAAAATGCCAACAGAATGTGTATCAGAAATGCTCCTACAAACTGTGTGTGTGTCAATGTTTCCCATTTTTCTTCTTGTGCAGGTGTCAAAACAAAGAATATATTGCAGGGAAATGGCAACAAAACAGCTTCCTTAACAAAAGCGTAAGTTACATTTGAGGCAGCAAGAGCTGGTGAATGTAGCAAAGAAAGTTTAAAGAAATGAATTGTGTCATAACCTAGCTCATTCTTTTCTGGCTTCTTTCTGGCCTCTTTTCAGGAAGCATTTTGAAAGTTTTTGTTCAATGGCTGCATCAGTCTGCCACATTGCACCAGTAATCTAGCTGTACAGTGAGGTGGGCATTGTTGTCTCTCTGCAATCACATAGGAGAGGGGACAGCAGGGGGATAGTAATGTTTACTTTATTTAAAGTATTGTGTCCAGATGCTATAGCCAAAATATATTTCCATGAGCAATTTGCAAACAATGTACCACAATACCATAAGCTGCCAAAATGTCATAAAGGTCAGAAAACACGAACACAATTAAAGACATCCAAACTACTTGCTGCCAGTCATCTTAGTAATGGAAAGGAAAGTTTTACTAAAATGTAGAAGTTGTTGAAAGCAATGTGCATTCACTGAACTTTCCATGGCTTTTACTTTTTCTGGCTTGTTAAGGGCCGAAAGCTTCCCCACCTCTTTTTCAAATAGTTCACAGGAAGGACTCTCCATCTGTTTTAGTCTAGTGAAAGGACATCCTGAAAGGAAATCATTTCGGTAGTTTCCAGTAATTCTGTGGGTTAGTCTGTATGCTATTGAGAAAATAGCCACAAGCTTAGATGTACTGAATAAGTTTCATGTTCAATTGTGGTTTAGTACTCAAAGGATTTGCAAGTTTATATAAAATTTTAACACATTTATATAAAAAAATTATATAAATTTTTAACATGCATCAATTTAACATCAATTGATGCTGCAACAGTAAAGGCCTGAAAAATGCCCCTCTTTTTGGATTTATGTTGTGTGACATGAAAAGTCTGTTTGCAATGTTTGATCTCTAATAACTGCCATTACTTGATGTTACATGTATGAACTGACTTATCCATTCAAAATAGGCCTTGAATGAATATTAATTGTCTGAGTTTAATTCACCATTAAACTGAATGCAAAAATTGCCTTTTCTCAGGCTCCATCTTATATACTGCCATTCTTTAATTATGCACTTCTGGAATGAATATTTGTTTCATTTTTCTTTCCAAGAAATCTAGAAGATGATCTACTAAGTACATTAAACCTGGAGCAGAAGCTTTCCCTGGGTTCTGATGATGAGGTAGACCTTGTGCAGGAACTTCAAAATATTTGTTTAAGCAAATCAGAATCTGACATAAGCAAGGTAAATGATCTCTATTCTTCTCCACAATATAATCAACCCTTGTTTTTCCTCTAGTTTCTTCCATGCTTCATTCAAGCACATCACAATTTTCTCCTATTTTCAAGGAAACATTCTTGACCCATCTCCCTCTCTAAATGCCATCATTTTCTGCTTCTTTCTATTGTCTCCAAACTCCTGAGGTATCCCACTTACTTCCATTTTCTCAACTCTTTTTCTTCAGACTCCTTCCTTGACTCGTCACAATCTGATTTCTGCCCTCTGCTCTCTAGTGAACCTATCTCTCACCAAAATCACTGACAAGTAGTCTCTGTCAAATTCAAAGGTTTTCACTTTGTCTTTATCTTCCTTGATCTTTCTGGATACAGTTGATCACCTATGGTTCTCAGCTGACTCTGTTCTTATGTCACTAATCCCTTATTCAACATGTCAAGGAAAAATCTCGCTCAGTTTTCCTGCAGCAAATGGAATCCGTAGGTCCTTGCTCTTGAACCACATCATTAAATACCATGGTTTTAATGCCTTGTTTATGCTGATGACATTCAGTTCTACCTCCCTGCTTCCATATCCCATCTTGTTGAATTTCCAAGGGCCTGCCTGATATTTCTGCTTGTATGTGCCACCATTTTCTCAAAATCAAGACTAAGTCACCTAATAAATTTTTCATCCTCAACCAGCCTCTCCTCTCCTTTTATGCTCTCATTGTTGACAACATAACCACTTCTCTTGTGCAATAGGCATACATTTGATTGTTCCATCTGTTTTCTCCCATATTCAGTCCACCACCAGGACGTATCATTTCCCCCTGTGAAACATTGTGAAAATAAAGTCCTATCAGCAAAAACTCATATTTTAAAACTGAAACCTTCTCTTTGTTTTCAACCGTCTGATATTAGCTATCTATTCTCTATCCCCTATTCTTTGTTCTTCTTATGTTACTTTTTGCTCTCCTTATCTATCTCGCTGTCCTGGTCCATCCTCTATAGTTTGTTGTTATTCTGTATTCATTTGTGACATTTATATGCTGCCATTTCCTCCCAGGTACCAAAGGCAGAATGCATAACTCTCCTCTCCATTTTATCCTCACAATAGCTTACACTAAGAGTCAGTGACTGGTCCAAAGTCAGCTTCATGGCTGAATGCAAACTCAAACCCAGGTCTCTCCAGTATCAGTGTCATACCCTTGAAGATGGTCCGGATACTTCAATTGGTTCAAAATAGAGCTGCCAGGCTGCTGACGGGGACTGGGCGTTATGTTCACATGACTCCAGTCCTCCGTCAGCTTCACTGGCTTCCCATTGAAGTCTGGGCCCAATTCAAGGTGTTGGTGATGACCTATAAAGCCCTAAACAGCTTGGGTCCTGGCTACCTGAAGGAGCGCTTACGTCCATATACGCCCGCCCGCCCCTTGAGATCTGCGGGAGAGGCCCTTCTCCAGGAACCCTCCGTGAAAGAAATTAGGAGGGTAGGTACTCGGAGGAGGGCTTTCTCTGCGGTGGCGCCCAATCTATGGAATGCGCTCCCCAGAGAGGTCCGCCTGGCGCCGTCGTTATTTGTTTTTTGGCACCAGGCGAAGACCTTTTTATTTAAACGTCATTTTAATTGTTAATATTGTTTGCTTATTTTATCTGGCCAGGGCGACTTATTTTATATTGTTAATTTGTTGTATATTTGGATGTATTATATTTTAATTTTATGTTGTGAGCCGCCCCGAGGCTTCGGCGAATGGGGTGGCATAGAAATGTTTTAAATAAATAAATAAATAAATAAATAAATAAATAAATAAATAAACACCCTAACTCCTACATCATGCTGTCTCTCATAAATACCATGCTAATAATTAATAATACATTAAAACTGTAAACAAGAACAACAACAGATCGTATGAGACTCGGGTCTTGACTATGCATTGCATTCTGAAAGCACAACTCTGCATGTTATCTCCTCTGTGTGACAACACTGGCATGCAGGGTAATTCATCATACAGAGAGGTGACCTCATGTGGAAACTTCCATGCTACAGCCAAGAATGTCCAGTGGGCACTCCTGGCAGTGGTGTGGAGCTGCCTGGCAGAGACAATATCCAATAGCCGTTTCGGCCCAGAAGATTTTTGTTGTGAATATGCAGGGTAGATTACAGAAGTTTAGGAGATTCACAAGAGTAGATTAAAAATGTTTGACTCATTGAATTATGAAAAAGTGTTGTTGTTGCTGTGTGTTTTATAATTCACCTTTTGATGCAATGTCATCCATTCAGAAATTCACAGTGGAGGAAAAATGTACTTTAATATCTGTTATTAGGATTATACTCTCTATATCAATCTATTGTTAGTGAGAATGAACCATGTTTGACCATTCCTGCTTTAACATATTAATACTTCCAGCACTGACATTGCTGTCCTCTCCCCTCCTTCCCACCCAATCAAACAGATTGTAGATTCAAAAGATGAGCTGAGGATGATGATCAGTACTTCTCAGAAGGATTCTGTGTTGTCAGCAAAAGTCATTAATGCAAATATATCAGCATCACAGCAGGTAAGGGGCAAATTACTGTGCCACGTAACAGAGGGATTCTTGTCTGTATTCAAATCATCCACCAAGGGTTATTGATTAGGTTTCAAAGAGTTAAGGCAGCTCTGGGCATACCAGATGGGACCACTGCATAAACACTGAGGCTGTTTAGATTGTGCTATCTGTGTTTCAGAGACGTCTCACCACAAACAAGGCATGCTTCAGGAAGAAAGAGAGTGACAGAGGCAGGCTTTGAAATGGAGCAGGAAAGCTGATGCACATGTACAGGAGAGACAGGCAGAGAGGCAGACATAGACCAGCTAAAGCCAGAGACAAGAAGGGCAGAGAACAAGGGAATGCTTAATGCAGAAGTAAGACATTAGGAGATAGGTTTTGTTTGACAATTAATGTTGTGCCAAATTTTGCCTTTTTAAACATTTCTGTTACAGTGTTTATTTTTCCTGAACTCTCTTGGTTGTTTTTACACACTCATGAAAGTCTGTTTACAACCTACTACATCCATCATTTCTAAACTTCCAAACATGCATGGAATTTTAAAATCTCTGGCTTATTTATTCATATAAAAGTCTTGTGGAGGGGAGGCATTCGGAGATGATTCCTGCACATGGAATTCGTTCCTAGCTACAGGCAGATTCGTCACTTTGAGCGCTGCTTCCAATTAAGCATCCCAACTGTATTCTACTACAGTTCAAAAAGAGAAGTAGAAAACAAACTTCCTGAATTTCATGCTGTCTTGTCTATTATACATGCACAATCTGAGGAACAGCTGTGGCTCAGTAGAAAAGCACCTGCTTTACATGCAAAAGGTCTCAAGTTCATGCCCCACATCGCCAGGTAGAGCTAGAGAAAATTTCTTGCTGAAACCCTGAAATCTCCTAAAGAAAGATTTCCCCCTGGCCACAGGACAACACCAGGGGTCTGAACTCCAGTACCAATTCAAAACTCAGTATAGGTGGGAACTTAATACAGATGGGAAAGCAGGTTGGGAAGTTGCACATGGAAGAAAGTGGTTTTTCAGCCTTTTGTGGATTTTCCAACTCTTTGGTAATAGCCAAGGAGCCAGCACACCTGCAGAGCCAACACCTGGCAGAGCATAATGGGCTCAGATTGTCACGTAAGAGTCTGGTAGCCCTTCTCTGGACTAGCAGACATTTCCAAACCATTTCAAAAGAAGGTCTATGTACACCATATCTCAGTTGCCTGAACAGGAAGCTTCCCAGAGCATGGATAATTGTAGCCAAGCTATCTGCACCAAGGGGACCACTGGTACTTGGTTATCAAGCAGTGGTTTGTCTGGGTGAGTGTAGAATGTTTAGGTGAAGAATTTGCTCTGTCTGAAGGCATCTGAAATGAGCATCATGGCCTAGAATATTCACCCATAGTAGGTTCATCGCTAGGAAAAAAGTGGGCAGTGGGGACTCTGAGGAAGAACAACTAAGAAACTCAGAGTAGGCAGCATTATGATGAATTTGGCTTCAGCCATTAATGAGCAGGCCCAGAGACAGCAAACCTTCCAGATGGCTGCAGTTGCCATGGAAACCAGAAAACAGGGAGGAAGTGGCTGTCTAAAATAGAACTGAGGAGGAGGGTGGGCTGGAGGTGACAATTAGAACTGCTAAGTTGCTGAAAGGCTTTTTGCTCTCCCTTTGAGACTGTTGCTTTCTGCACATGTGGAAGAAGAAAGTTACCAGAAAGATCAGTGGAAGAACTAGAAATTGATAAAAAATGAGATAGAGGCCAGTTTGAAGAGAAGGGCATTGTGGAGGGTCCAAATGGAAACCAAGATGTATATCCCTGCCCAGCAAATAGCAGTCAGTTGTGGTGCAATCCTGAACTAGCTGCAGCCTCAAATATGTTGGAAAATGCTATCCCATCCCCAGTGCTGAAGCACACGCACCTGCTCATGCAGTCAGTGTCTGTACGCGGGCAGGCACAGTGCTGTCATTTGGCCCAGGCAGCGAAATGTCTCGGGCCTGGCCCGGCTTCTCAGAAAATGGCTCATCAGGAAAGGGATTAAGCCCCCTTTATTCACGCCAGTGCTTCAGTCCAATTGGCCCTTTCCTGCTTGCTGTTCTTAAGCTGTATAAAACGTTTAAGAACAGCAAGACATCACTTGCTAGCACAAGTTGCTTAGCCCTGAAGGGAAGGCTTTCAACAAGACAGGGCAAGGTAAGAATGTCTGTTCCAGAAGTACGCCCTGCCTGCATGTGAGTGTCAGTGGACATAAGGAAGACTGGACCATGCACATTGAGAAACAGGAGGGCACTTTCCCAGCACTCATGGAGTCGAAGTTTGCTACATGCGTGGTCCCCGTGCATCCCTAAACCCCCCCTCCCCTGCCACCCTTTGAAAGTCACAGTGGGGAAGGGAGGATTTACCAGTATATTTAGGGACATTTCTGGGTGAAAACTGCAGGAATTAAATGCGGTAACATTTTGATCTTTGCATGCAATTTTATTTCCAGCAAATGTTGATTATATGTTCAAAGTAATAAGAGTGTACAGGACGAGTGGAGTGTGTTGTATACCAAGTGAGCTTTCTGCTTTTACTATGTAATTATTTATTTGTATAGCCCCATTATTATCTGGTTTATGACTACTGTAATTATTGGGTGTCATTGCTTGCTACTACTGTAGAACGTTTTACTAATTTAGATAAAAGAGAAACTCATTTTAAGGAGAAAACAGCAGTGATATAAACAGCATGAGAAATGTGCCTTGCCTCTCTTCTATGCACACCTGAAGTGTTAGACATTGACCCTTTTGAAAAAGAAAACAGATGCTTTTACTTGTTAAGAAATGTACCTCATATCATAGACATTCCAGCAGTGTTTAGCAGCTTTCAGCCTCCCCTGTGAAGGTCATGCATGTATTAGCAGGTTTCTGTATCAAAACTAGAAAGCAGCAGACTAACTTTGAAAAAGTGAAAAAGGCAGAAAGCAGATGGCTGTGCCCAGATATGCCTGGGGCATTTCTATCTTGCTGCTCAGTGTAGCTTCTGTAACCTCAAGATGGAAAAAGATGACAGACAAGACACATATTTAAAAATAGAAATAAGGATATTATCCTCATCATCGCTGAACTTTCAGATATGGTGGGGGATAGAATCAATTTTAGTCTAAAAAGACATGGAGGCAGCTGCACTCTGTAGCAATCAGCTAGCTCTTCCTTTTTCATCCAAAAATGTACTGCAAGCATTGCTAGCCATGCTGCACTGAATCATAGATCATTTTTAATAATACACCTGTAGGCATGGAGGAAAATAAGCTGCTGTGATAATCTGCTCATATTGAAATCTCTTCAATATGCAAAGCATTTGCTTTTGGGGATTTGAGAAGGATTATTTTGTGTGGCTTCATAGTAGGCTTTTTGGAGTGGGCACTCATGGGGTGTTATCAATACAGTAGGTAGTATTCATTAAGAGTTTTTAAAACAAATTTGCAGAGCAGATTACAAAAGTTTAGGAGATTGATCAGAGCAGATTAAAAACATTTGACTTCTCATGCTAATAAAGCCAAATATAAAGCTGGGGTGGGACCACATGTTTCTCACAGGGTTTCTGCCATAATATATCACTCAGTGCATGATAAATGGATCAACTTGGTCCATCCCCTGTTGTCATTAGTGTTTTCCTATCTCCTTCTCCCACAACATTGCTTCTGGCAAAGCAATGTGGACATACTTAACATAAAGATTTCAAGCCACACTAATTTATGAAAAGGGCAATGAAGAAAGTTGATGCAGACTCCATATTGTATGTTTTTGAAATGTGCAACTTTCTTTGCTGTATAAAGACATAAAATGGCATTAGATACATTTGATGGAAGGCAAGTCTATTGGTGGCTCCTGGCTATAATACCTTGATGAGGATGGAGCCTAGTGAAGAGTGAGGATGTGAGGAGGCAATTGCCTTCCTGGCCAGAACTATCTGGCTGACCACTGTGGGAAACAGGATGCTGGACTAGGTTAGTGCTAGTCTGGCCCAGTGTGGCTTGTCTTTTGTTGTGAAGGTAGCAATCCAGGGAGAAGGCCCTTCTGAACAAAGCCAATGCATATAGGACTGGCTTTTACAATATCAGAGAAAGGCAAATGGTGCAATCCAGAGACATTGATCACTGGCATTCCACAAAGCACCAGTCCCATTATCTGCTGTAGTCAAAGGAAAATGTTCATTTCACCCACTTGGTGCAATTGTCACAGCTGGCAGCAGAAGCTTTGTGTAAACTCCAGGCAGTTTTCTTCTTTTGATCACAGGCAGTTTTCTTCTTTTGATCACAGGCAGTTTTCTCTCTTTTTGCTCCTCGGGAAAAATGCATTTATGCTATATACTGTTATTGTGTTAACAGGATGAAAATCCTGGGACCTGTCCTCTCAGCAGCAGTCAAGCTGTGGAATGCAGCAACAGTAAATCAAAAACTGAGTCTTTCAAGAGTGGTGTTTCAAGAGTGAAATCGTTTCTTCCTGTGCCCAGAAATAAAGTCAGCCAGTCTTCTCAGAACACTAAACGCAGCAGCAGCAGCAGCAGCAGCAGCAGCAGCAGCAGCAGCAGCAGCAGCAATACAAGGCAAATAGAGGCAGTCAATGACTCAAAAGAGGAAATTTGGAACATGCACAAAAAAATACAACTTGAAAAATACGAATAAATATATCCATCTACCATTCATCTTCCCCTCCAGTCTTTGCATACTCAGTTCTCATGGAGAACAAATTCATTCACACGTGTAAATAATTTTAAAATTATTTTCTCAGTTATATAATGTATCTATGGGACCACAGTTTAATTTTTATGTAAATAAGCTGTTTATAATGAAAATATTAGATTATATTAAATTGAACTTTAGAAGTGGAAAGTGATAGCTTCATAAATGATTTTCTATTTGAAAATGTTTTATTGTTTAATTATATTCAGGGTATCACAACAGAAAGTTTGTGTGTGTGGGTGTGCGTGCGTGTGCGTGTGTATAAATAAATACATAGAAATAAATAAATATATTGGATTTGATTCAGAGATACTTGTGTACAAAAAAGATAGGACTACGTGTGAGTTTCAGTGGAGACACACAGATTTTCCATTGAAATAAGATGCAGAAAGCCCATGTGGAAAGATCAATTGGCTGTCTATGCTGCATTGTCAGTGTGGCCATCTTTGCATCTGCATCACCTTGTTCAGAGACTGATCTGCAGGTCTACTGTGTTAGTGTGGGATTCCCATGTGTCAAGAGCCAATGCGGATTTCTGCATGTGGAAAACTAAGTAGTGGGTCTGCTTTTATTTCCTGTGTCTTGTGGGATCCTGCAGGGTGTTACTCATGTGAAAATGCTCTTCTCTGTGTGTGTTAACATCTCTACTGCCTGCAACAGAATTCCTGGACTGGGGTGATTAACCTTATATAGTTCTATGCTGAGTTCCTGTGGTATATTTCATACATTGGGTTGCACAATTCTGTACAGTTCTGGCTTAAAACTACTATACATGTGTTTTCAAGGCAAAAAAACTAACAAAATAAAACTATGTTCACTTTCTGAAAAGTGAAGGGAATGTGGCAATAATGGGAAGAATAGGGATACTGCCCAGTTACAGTTATAAACTGCATTAAATATTTCAGTTGCCCATTTATTGGGTAGTTTGGCTTATTTCTTGTCTCTTGTTGCTTTGATTTTGCATTTTAGCACCTGTATGAATTACATTTTGCACACAGACTTTGCCTCTCTGGAAAAACAAAATACCGAACCAATCTGTGAGTATTTGTCCCATACCATTGGGCAGGGTGGAGGGAAATCATAAGAAAGAGAACACTTGCATACATTGTTCTATATGCTATTTTTAAAAAATCCCCCACTTCCTTAGTTTTGACACATGCTAATATTTAGGGCATTTTTCACTGAAAAATCTGTTTCTCATAATGGGGAGCACTAGATGAACCAAAGGGAAAGCAGCAGCAATAACTTGGGGGAGGGAAGGACACATGTGATTTACCTACTCGTGTATTATGTCTGAAATAATGTTTAGCTGCTATTCACTAGCAGTGGAGCAAGGACAAGATCTTCCACCTCTTTCTAAGCTCTTTTCCCTTTGCAAAAGATTGTGTTCCTTCAGTGTTCATGGGGGCCACAGCTGGTTCTGGTGTACATCTTCTAAGACCCTGTCTTGATATGACACCTCTGTAAAATGAATGCACATAGGTTCCTTAAGGAAAGTCTTCATGGCCACCTGGTGAAGGACTTTGCACTTGCTTTGGCAATGCTTTGAAGATAATGGTACCAACATCTTGGCAAGAGAGTTTGTAAAAATAAAATCAGCAGTAACATTAAGTGCCCTCCTGGAATTTCACTTGTCATGCCAATAAAACCTTTTTGTATTGCAATTGTGTTTGTTTTGTCTTGCATCTGCATGCATTCAATGTTATGTGCACTGTGTATATGTGTGCTGCAAAAAGCAGGAATTTGATAGTGACTTGTTTGTTGTGTGTCACTGCTTCCATGCTTTAAACCATATATGGGTAAGCCTTTTCCCCGCAGGGCTACCTGTGGTGGGTCAGGGACCCCTTGTTGGCCAGGGCTAGTGCTCCTTTTTCCTCCCTTTCAGAGACAGAGATTGATGAGAAAATATGCAAGTTTTCTCGGGTCTCTCCTAATGTCTACAAAATATTTATTTGAAGAGCATGGCATGCAGGAAGAGTATGGCATCCTCCCCAAACAGGTTGCACTCTCCCCATCCTCCAGACAAGTAGGAGTGGGCTAAGGGACCTGGTGGGATTCACAGAACTTCAGCAGAAAAAATGGAGGCCACCAGAGAGGAGAAGGGATAATGGCTCGGACACCAGTGCAGATGACACTGAAGGGTTCCATGTGGGCCACAGGTGTTTAAAGCAAGCTTTTACAGACGTCAGTTCTCAGGAGCTGAATCTTAGTAGTCAGAAACTGGTTTAGTGTCTCTGCCCTTTGTATTTCCTCAGCTGACAGTGTCCAGTCATTACAAGTTTGTGCTTCGAATGCCTCTCCACGGCCAGCCTACCTTCATCTGCCTTGGTCCTCATCAGGGTGCTCAAATTCTGTGATAAACATCTTGTGACTGCCCAAGGCAAATACTGACACGGGAAGAAAATTTATACATGATATTTTTCAAACATTAACAGTTCCTTCAAAACAACCCTGGGTAAGCCATTAATGCCGGATTTGACGATTTGGTAGTACCTTCCTCTGGATGAGCTGTATGAGAGGGTTTTGGTTGTTTTTCAAGAAGCATGAAATAAAGCCCTCCTAGCACATATGTAGACTGATTCTATGTATCTCTTGCCAGATGTACAGTATATCCCATTGAATTCAATGGAATTTACCCATGGGTAAATATGCTTAGGATTGCAGTTGTAGTTTCTTAAGTAGATCTATGACAAGGAATATACTACTCCCTCACCCCACTAATTTCTCTGAAAACACTCCTAATATCAACTGGAAGGTGCAATAGGAAACGTCTCTATGTCCTGATATTTTCTGGAGTAAGGCTTCACCTCTCACTACTTCAAAATGCAAGTATTCATTATTCTAAAGTTCAATATCCTTGTTCACCTCTGAATAGAATTTTAGGTTGTTACTGAAGTCTCCTTTTGCCTAACCAAATGGATCGACTATAAATAACTGAAATTCCAGAACTACTTGGTGCTCAAGAAGAAGTGAGTGAAAATTATATTTAAATAAATGGCCACAGTGCCTAGTACCAGGACCTTACAGAGTCTGCAAAACCTACAGTGAGAAAACAAGCATATAAAAGTAATTAACTAGCTTAAAGTAAGTCAAAGGGAATAGTCATGATTACAAAGCAACATGATCCTTTATAGTTAAGTGCAAAGGATCTCAAGCATCATCGCTTGGGTTTTTTGAGAAAAAAAATAAATTTACATTCCTATGGAAAATACTACTTTCTGTATGTACCAGGTTGACTGCTAACTAGCACCTTTCTTGAGTAAGTTTACTTGCAGCACTTACTGGACAAAGCAAAAATTATCTTCATGTATCTTTATCTTGTCCTTAGGACTGCCATTGGGAGCAGAGCAAGTGCCTATTAAATTACTGTTGGTTGCCAACAGCACTTACTAGCTGAGAAGTGCTCAGGGTGCCAGTGTTCACAGGAAACAAACTATTCTCTGCATGCAGCAATAGGGAATGCAGAAATTTCTTTTAATGTAAACAATTCCTAAATAAGATCAAATAAATTGAATTTTGAGCTAATTATATCCCTTCTCTCGGATTTCTGTTATTGTTCTGATTTTTTAAATTGAACTTGATTGTTGATATCTTGAGGAGGGGGGCAGCAGGGAACCAGAGTGTGTCTCATTTTGCACTTAAAGCAATATTTTTATTGAGTTAAACTTTATGGTAGCTGCACATTTGGCATTGGTGTCAAAAGTTATTGACGTAGCCTGGATTTGTTCTCACAGCCTATTTTCCTCCATTTCCTGATTCTTCCACAGTTTCTCATCTCAACATACGTCATGAGAATGACCACTTGAGACTTTATCCAGTCATAGATGCAACACAGGCAAAGTTCTGCTGTGGTAAGATCTCTTATCCAAAAGTCTTTACACTGAGATTTATCCTACTATACTGCTTGTCTGATTCACATTTTCATTCATTCATTCATTTTATATTTATTTATTTATATTGCGATTTATATCCTGCCTTTTTCCTACAAAGGGCTCAAGGCAGCTTACATCATTCTCCTCCATCTTATCCCCACAACAACAAGATTGATGAGAGAATTAGCAAGTTTTCTCGGGTCTCTCCTAATGTCTACAAAATATTTATTTGAAGAGCATGGCATGCAGGAAGAGTATGGCATCCTCCCCAAAAAGGTTGCACTCTCCCCATCCTCCAGACAAGTAGGAGTGGGCTAAGGGACCTGGTGGGTTTCACAGAAATTCAGCAGAAAAAATGGAGGCCACCAGAGAGGAGAAGGGATAATGGCTCGGACACCAGTGCAGATGACACTGAAGGGTTCCATGTGGGCCACAGGTGTTTAAAGCAAGCTTTTACAGACGTCAGTTCTCAGGAGCTGAATCTTAGTAGTCAGAAACTGGTTTAGTGTCTCCGCCCTTTGTATTTCCTCAGCTGACAGTGTCCAGTCATTACAATTCATTCATGCTCTTATAACAATTCTATACTGCCCAATAATCCAAGTTCTCTGGCTGAGATGCAAAGATTAAACCTTTAAAATATACATAGTATAAAAACATTTAGTTACCAATATATAAAGATACAGTATGCATGCATCTAAACAATTTTAAAGAACAGTTGAAAACCTAATCATATGCACTAAATGACTAAAACAACCTGGTGCTGGAAAAGTAATGCTGTTGGCACTAGGCAGACCTCTCTGGGGATTGACCCATAACTGAGGGGCCACCAATGAGGAAGCCCTCTCCCCTATTGCTACCTGGATGTTTAACATAGTCTATGAATTTGTTGCTATATGGCAGCATCTCTGATTTACAGCGTCCACAAAAATGAAAGTCCTCCAACATGTCCTATCCATGACATCCCTGCTTAGCTGTTCTATAGTCGAGGCTGTGGCTTCCTTGATGGAGTCACTCACACTCTTATTTGGTCTTCCTTTCCTTCTTCTGCCTTTGATTTTCCCTAACATGATTGTCTTCTTCAGTAAGTCTTGCCTTCTCGTGATAAGCCCTGAGTATGGCAATCTCAGTTTTGTCATTTCTACTTCCAGGGAAACTTCTGGCTTGATTTGATCCACTTGATCCACTTGTTTGTCTTTCTATCGTGCCAAGGTATGTAGGCAACGGAGGCATTCCATCAGGCATTGCAGTCCCAAGTCATGTAAGGCTTCATAGGAACCAGCACTTCAGGTTCAGAAACCTTCAGGCAGCTAGTGGACCAGCACTGCTGCCACATAGTTGGATCTTCTTATCTGTGGAATCCATCTGGGTACCATATTTCGCATGTGCTGCAGTTTCTAAACTGTCTTCAAATGCAGTCCCATGTGACGCACATAGCAGTCATCAAATTTGAATTTCAGTAAAGTATGGATGCTTAAGGCCAGGTTATCCACGTCCAGATAGGGATGTATGTAGGCCACCAACCAAGCCTAGAAAAGGGGTTCGTTCATGCCACTGAGGTCACCTGAGCCAGGAGAACTCCCAAGGTATGAACCTCTCCTTCAAGGGGATTGCAAGCCCATCTAGAATGAGCTGAGCACCCTCCATCTGATCAGAACTGCCACCCAGTAATGACATCTTGTGTTTGTCCACCTTGAGTTTCAATTGATTATCCCTCAATCAGCTCAGGGCTACAGGGTTTGCCTGGCAGGTCTGAACAATCAGATTTTAAAGCTGGAATCCTATTCTTGCTTACCTGGAAATAGGTTCATTGAACTCATCAGGGCTACCTCTAAGTAGACATGGGTAGAATTACACTGTAAGACACTGAAACCCTTTTGCTGAAATCATTCTAATCTGTAGTGTTAAACAAAAAATTCCAGACTGAGCTATTTCTGCATGTGCTTTTCCATGTCCACACACAATCTAATAAAGACAGACTTGCCATCTGTATATGGCAGGGAAAAGGCATAACAGTTTCTACCACTGGTCACAGATTTCAACTTTGGGAAACTAAAAGGGAAGATCTGACAGTTTAGGCTGCACTAATACTCATTTGTGAGTGAATGCCCTTGAACTCAGACTTATTTCTGATCAGACATGTATAGGATTACATTCCTGTGCGTGTTTCCTCAGAGTAAGCCCCACTGAATTCAACCAGACTTTGCCCCAGATGAGTGCATAGCCTGTAGGACTGCAGACTTAATGTTTGCAGAACTGGACAGGTGTCTCTTTTCTCTGTCTCAAAATATGCATAAATTAAGGTGACTAATGTCCTATATTCTTGAAAATTCTATAAATAATCATAAAGCCTAGCAAATTATTCAGGGATATGTAGCTAATTTCAGCGAGATTACTAATCGAAGATACATTTTCTGTAGCTAAATAAAGCTTACATCTAATTTTACCTGCAAAAATTGATCCAAGAAAGCTACTGCATATTTGCTTCTGGTTTCGACATTTCATTCGCTAGAATGAATGCCGCAAACAAGGAAAAAAAGTATCAACTCTGCAGCACCATCTAGTGACAAGAAGGCAAATAGAAGCAAATGCTCACTCTTTTGTGACATTTTTGTTGGTGTATTAAAGACACTACCATGGATTTGTGACGTGTTTGAAGTGCATTTCTTACAGAATATATAAGGCTTCAGTGTTGATGAGTTGGATTGTACTGTTGAATACAAACAAATAAAATCTGTTGACTTGGATTGTCCCAAAACTTTC